AGCACCATTAATACTTTTTTATGGCATAGGGGTAGCAATTGAGCTGACGGATCACCTGATCTATGGACACTTGCAACACCAGAGGAGTTAGATTAATTGTCAAAGTTGCCATTTAACAAATGCATGCATATTTCGCAATCAATAGATGGCCTACAAATTACAATAGCTTGCATCTTGCTTCATCATCATCTATAAATGTCCACTGCTGAGCAAAATCCTCTTCTCGCACGGAAAAGGTTTGAGCATTAACCACCACGCTTGCTCAATGCGGGTTAGTGATTTCAAGTGGGGTTTCCCCACGATGTTTCTTTCTTAGAAACAATGAAAACTATATGAGAACTTATATGTTTTTTAAATGCATTTACGACACAGGAGAAAATCCTAGGATGGGACAACGTTTTTTTAAAGAAAATTAAACTGTATATGAACCGTCAACGTTTACTTGCCTATTGTTTTAGACAAATTAATCCGATGATTGCTTCTAATAAATGCACGCATTCGTCAAATGATGCAATATGGATTTTTGCCAATGACTTGTTCTCCCGTTTTAGGCGAGGCGAGAGGGAGTGTCAGACTCTTACTGATTAAAAACCACCCCGTTTCTTTTCATGCCTTGAACCCGTTATCTTGAAGTCGTCATCAGCTTCGAATCGGGATAGCAGGCCTTACAAAAGCGTTACCGACCTTTTAGGAATATGCTATTTTGGGAATATAGGGGGTCTGAGATTTAGAGAATAGAATAGGTATAGGGTAGAGAATCAGGCCTTTGGTAACCTCACTCACACAGCGCAACACTTTGACTTTCAAACATAACATATAACATAACATCACACCTTTTATCCCCGAAGGGGTAGGCAGAGGTGCACATTACGGCACTTAATGCCGCTTTACAATGTAACACCCACTTTTCACTATTTATGTTATGAGCCCCATGTAAAAGGGGTGAGCCTATTGCCATATACCGGAGACAATTCCAGACTGCGTGCTACTACTGAGATTTTTTTAAAGCCAGTAATACTTTACCTGACCCGGGAATCGAACATGAGACCTGTGGCCCAGCAGTCCCACTAGCGACCACTCGCCCAACGAGGCAGTCAGAACAGTATTTCTTTACTAATTTTAGTGGAATCAGTCGAGTGTTGATGATCAAGAAAAAGTGTTATAATTACCTATGTCTATATTTTTATTTATTGTCTATCGTCTTCTAACTTCAAGTGTGATACTGATAAAGAATGAGTCATAGGTTATCAGTAGGTATTAGATAACACTTATACAAAAAATGTTAACTTTGTTTGTGCGTCCATTTATTGTTTTTAAATTTTGAAATATTTACTTGAGAGACTTAGAGCAGATTTTTCCAACACCTGATAAATTTTAACTAAGGAATAACTGACAATTATTCCATACTAATAACTGTCAAATGTCAATTTTATTCTACAGAATTAACTGATGATTGATATCGACCCTTAAAGAGTGACATAATTACTGAATATTGTGAACATACATAAATAACTTTACGCCTGTCTCCCATAGGGGTAGGCAGAGACTATGGAACGCCAATTACTACGAGTCCTAAATACCTCATTCGCTTCATCAACAGTCATAAATCTTTTCGTGCATGCTCGTCGGTTAAGGGTACTTTTAATTTGGCCCTTCTTTAATATATCGCCAATCTGGTCACTGTATATCCATCTAAGACGCCCTCTACAGACGACCCCATTCATATCCACAGTATTGTGAACGCTGGAAATGATACTGAAAACACATCACATCAACAGCCACTGCTTACCAAAGGCTTCTTCTCACACGGAGAAGGTTTGAGCATTAATCATCACGCTTGCTCAATGCAGACTTATAATTAAAAAGTTTAGCCCAGGTTTTCTTACGATGTTTTCCTTCATCATTTATCAGTGGTGTCTAGATTATCTTAAAAAGTCAACATATAACTCGGAAAAAGTCGCATTGTATTTGCCGTTGGTAGGTTTCGAATCCGCACCCTCATGCATGAGAAGCGGGCGACTTTTTTTTAAGGGGGAAAAACAATCGAATGCAATCTCCCGCCTGGGTGAGGCGGGAGGGAGTGCCAGACTCTTACTGACTAAAAACCACCCCGTTCCTTCTCCTGCACTTCGAGCCGGAGCCCCGGTAACTCGTTAACTCCTCTGCGGCTCAAGCAGGCGGAAACCACGACATTTTATTGAAAACACTTCTTAATACAATTTTTTTTAAAACACTAAAAAAAATAAAATAATTCTTCTTTTTTTCTTCTTCTAATTCTTCTTCTTACACACGACACACAAATCGAATCTTCATTTACTCTTGCGGTAAACGAGAAACATGTTGCCACATGTAATAAAACATTGCGAAACTCGTTGTTTGTTTGTTTGTTTTTTGCAAAATAGTACTTTAATAAAATATTACGGCAAGGGTGTCGGTTTCGATTCCGGGTCGGGTAAAGTATTACTGGGTTCTTAAAAAATTCTCAGTAGTAGCACGGAGTCTGGAATTGTGCCCGGTATATGGCAATAGGCTCACCCCCTATTACATGAGACCTTTAACATAAATAGCGAAAAGTAGGTGTTACATTGTACAGTGGCATAATGTGCACCTCTGCCTACCCTTTCGGGGATAAAAGGCGTTCTGTTATATTAAAATATTACGTATGCAACATGTACTTTCTTAATTCACTGCAAGGACATTGAAAAAGGGGACATAATGCCACTTTGTAATAGCAATGATTGAAGTACCAAAATGTCAGTGGGTTATTTATGTGTGCGTGTGTATAGGTTGCCACGTTACCAGACTAAAGAAAATGACAGATGTCCTTCGTGTCAATGTGTATATGTTATGCGTATAATGTAAGTCTATAGGAACAAGCAGTGCTAGCCAAATGCCATTTAGCGCTTGTCTACATGTAGAATAGAAAACCAAATTATATGGAATTGACGTAAATTTTGACACTTGTCAGTGTCATCCCCATACATTTTGATAGTGAGAGTAGATATCAAAATGTATGGGGATGACACTGACAAGTGTCAAAATTTACGTCAATCCCATATAATTTTGTTTTTCTACATGTAGACAAGCGCTAAATGGCATTTGGCTACAGCTGCAGGGCCTCTAGCCAAACGTCACTTTAGCACTTGTCTACAGAGTGAGTAGAAATCAAAATGTATGGGTATATATCAAAATTTACGGCAATTCCATATAATTTGGTTTTCTATTCTACTTGTTGACAAGCGTTAAATGGCATTAGGCTACAGCTGCTGATGCCACAGTCGTTGATTCAAGAGACTGTGTCCGCCTTTTTTGCAAAGTCCTTGATTCATTGAATAAAATATTTTTTTTAAGTTTTAACCTTATTTTTTAACAATCAAGGTAAAACGTTAGTATTCTTCTAGATAATAATCTAAATATACATTATATATAACTCAAAGGTTGACTGATATAGTGATCTAATGTACAGCCCAAACCACTGAACGGATCAGGCTGAAATTCGGTATGCAGGTAGATGTTATGAAGTAGGCATCAGCTAAGAAAGGATTTTGATAAATTCCTCCTAAGGGGATGATAGGTTATATAAACCTCCGTAGATTTTCGACACTGAATTAAAATTAAATATTGGAGCTATTTAATTTTATTTCAGTGTCGAAAATCTCAGACGTCAGTAGACGTCGCGGCAGGCCCAAAAGGAGATGGCGGGACGAATTAGACATCTATGACAAGGATTGGCCGCAAAAAGCTTTACATAGAGAGGAGTGGAAGGAGGGTAGGGAGGCCTTTGCCCTGCAGTCGGACGATCATGGCTGAAAATAAATAATCAATACATAGTATAAAACAAAGTCGCTTCCGCTGTATGTCCGTATGTATGCTTAGATCTTTAAAACTACGCAACGGATTTTGATGCGGTTTTTTTTAATAGATAGAGTGATTCTTAAGGAAGGTTTGTATGTATATGCATATTGCACCCGTGCGAAGCCGGGGCGGGTCGCTAGTAATAAATAATTGGAGCTACTATGATGAAGAATTTTGATAATTTAATTAAATCCGAAAGGACCCGGCAAAGGACGTCTGAGAGTTTTCAGCCCGGACATCCCACGAAAATGGGAACTATGCGGGGTTACGTAAAACCCCGGAACTGTCTCGGGATCTTTTAAATTAGTGTACTTATTTCATAGAAATTTAGTACAACAATGGTTTGCGATACAGGAAAGGACATATAATAGTTTTCATTACTTAAATTCTTAGAGAATGGGCACTATCCGTTAAAATGCTGGGACTAATTAATTTAGAATCTACCACGAAAATTACAACATAAATCCCAGGACTCTCTATCTTTTAAACCCCTGAACGTATTTAAGTAAAATACGGTACAACGATAGTTTGAGACTTGATAATATAATATGATAGTATCCCCAGGAACTATATGTTATAGCACCGGGATTCTCAGGACCGGTATAATGTGGGATTGTTTATTTTTGAAACCAAGAAAATAAATTCATTTCATTATAAACAAATGTATAGTACATTTTTTTTTTTTTTTTTAAGGGGGGAAAATCATCGAATGACTGCTCCCGCCTGGGTGAGGCGGAAGGGAGTGTCAGACTCTTACTGACTAAAAACCACCCCGTTCCTTCTCCTGCACGTCGAGCCGGAGCCCCGGTTACCCGTTAGGTTCTCCGCGACAAATGTATAGTACCTACTGAACTGATTCTGACAACATTTGTTACAGCCATAGAATATACCTCGGAAATGACAAATTCTATTAATGCCAGAAGTCATTATTCTACGCGGACGAAGTCGCGGCTAACAGCTAGTATTATAATATAATGTTTAAGTCATAATAAACCTCGCGGCTTAATTAGGTTTATTACAGAACAGAAGCAAGGCTAGTAACTTGTATGTATAAGCGACGTTAAATAAATCCCACTACTGCATCGAGAACCGACGGACGCGGTTGTTTGAAGTGAAAAACATCGATTAAAAAAACATCGAAAAAAATGCAAAAACTTTATAAATTTTTCGCGATTTTTTTTCTAGTTTTCGAAGTGAATTGTATCGAGTTGTTTAGGACCCCAAAAGTGCCCCGTTTTGAACATGAATGGTGGGGACCTGCGCATTTGAAGTATAGCAATGATACAAGCATTAAACCTTTTGAAGTGCACTTTTCTGATGAGGTAAGTGACTTTTCTATATACATAAACATATAGAAAACATCACGCCTTTTATCCCCGAAAGGGTAGGCAGAGGTGCACATTATGCCACTGTACAATTTAACACTCACTTTTCACTATTTATGTTATGAGTCCCATATTATAGGGGATGAGCCTATTGCCGTATACCGGGCACAATTCCAGACTCCGTGCTACTACTGAGAATTTTTAAAGACCCCAGTAATCGAGACCCCTTGCCCGGCAGTCGCACTTGCGACCACTCGATCAACGAGGCAGTCGTTGGCCGAGTAATGTACGTTAAATATTTAAAAATAATAAAAGAATCCTTGGTGCGTCATCAAAAATATGGTTTTTAGAATTATTGTCCGTGATGATCTCAAAAAGCATTGCATGGATTTACTTCATATTTTGCATGAATATTAGGTACAAACAATTAATGAAAGAGTGATTATTTTTTAAAATTTTATTGTATTGAACAGTCGTAATAATTTATTTTTGATTAAAGAAAGTACCCAATCCAATTGAAATTAATATATAAAAAACAGATAATAATATGTAGTTGTTATTTCGTTGATCGATTTTTCAAAAACCGGGTGTAATTTTGTTTGTTTGTTATCGTTACGCGTTATCCATTCAGTCAATGTTCTTGAAACGCATTTGCTGCCGGAAATGTATGAAATCTAAAAATTGTAGTATCTCCTAGGAATTATATACATATCCGAGGCTATTCAAAGTTTCATACAAACTTTCATCCCCTATTTTACCCCCTTTGGGGTGGAAATGGGTTTTGGTCTAGGTGGAGAAATGTAGCTTCACATTCATTTTGAATAACATATTGAATCACGTTCAAAAGTGCCCTTCTGGTTTAATTGAAAGAATAGTAACTACTTACATATAAAATATTGTTTTATTTTTTTTTAAATATACGTACCTCCTTTTACGTAATAGTATAAATTCTAATATCGTATTACATTATATGAAAATAATGCTTTTTGGGGTTAAGTTTAGAAATACAACTATTTCAGAACCCATACAACCTTCAAACCTTCAAGAAAAGAGCGTATTCCTCTGGTGTTGCGGGGGGTGTTCCATGGGTGGCCCTGATCGCTTACCAGTTTTGACAAAAAATTTAACTGACACAATTTGAAATTGCTATAATTTTCTTGTCCCAGTATGTGTTCCATACAGTAAGTATACCATATTTTAACAACATAGGACAACTTAATGGTAGGACGGTATGTTTGTAAATGAGCTTGTAATATCTTCAAAAACAATAGGAAATTCACACCGCAAATAGGAAAAGGAAGGACAAACCGACAGAAAAAATGGAGTAATTGGGCCTCCGGTAACCTCACTCACAGGACGAAACACAAAGCAAGCGTTGTTTCACGTCGGTATACTGTGAGACCGTGGTATCACTCCGGTCAAGCCGGTCCATTTGTGCCGAAGAATGGCTCTGCCACACTTTTCCCCACATTCACTTCTTCCCACACTCACTCTATTATAATAATCATGTAATTTAAAATAACATTATTCCAGATGATCCTAGACCTAAGATATCGACTGAAGAACACAAGATCATGCACCCCTCCGCTAGAAGGCGTCAACTTCGAGTATGGTTTCAACACAGACCACCTACAAGGATGGCTGGACTACTGGGCGGACCACTACCCATTCCAGCATCAAGAAGCCTACCTCAACCAGTACCCTCAATTCAAGACTAACATCCAAGGACTTGATATACATTTCCTCTGGGTAAAACCTCATGTAAGTTTTGTTGATTCTCCCTTGTCCTTTTCATCATCGTACCACAAGACAATCGGCGAAGCATCACTGATTCATGATTCATGACCCACCCACACGCATGAAGCGCTTCGCATCAAGCTTCCTTGTGCGTACTGCTAAGGAGTGGAATTCTTTGCCAGAGTCTGTATTTCCTGAAGGGTATAACCTGAGAGTCTTCAAGCTCCGAGTGAATAGGTTGCTTATGGGTCGACGTGCTCCATCGTAGACCGCATCATCGCGCACCACCAGGCGAGATAGTGGTCAAACGTCGGCCCATCTAATATAAAAGTACTCTTAAAACAACACGGCATAACACCATGGACATTTTTTTATAATATTTATTCATTATAATAAATTAGTCATAGTACAGATAAACATCTTAATTTAAAATCGAAAGTTTGGTTATTTAATATACATACATGAACATAACATGATACCTAAATATTAATATTATCGTATAAGTACGTTTATTGAACGAGAGAAAAAGACATACTTACATATAAAACATTGTAGATACTATATTACCGAAGAAATTGATATGGGTAGCAGACGGTAATTTCTGTATTGAAATCCCAAAAACCCTTTAAAATTTGTCCTATATTTTCAGGTACCATCGACAGTAGAGACGATACCACTCCTACTGCTGCATGGTTGGCCAGGCTCCGTCCGGGAGTTCTATGAGACCTTACCCATGCTGACAGCTGTGTCAGCTGACAGGGACTTCGCGTTAGAAGTCATAGCTCCTAGTCTGCCGGGCTTCGGGTTCTCTGACGTACGTATAAAATAACATTTTTTTTTATGGCATAAGCCGGTAAACGAGCAGACGGATCACCTGATGGTAAGCAATCGGCGTCGCCCATGGACACCTGGAACACCAGAGGCGTTACAAGTGCGTCACCGGCTTTTTGGGGATTAGGAGTTTGAGGATCGTTGGGGATTCAGGGGTTGGGAAGATTCACTCACACGACGAAACACAACGCAAGCGTTGCTTCACGTCGGATTTCTGTGAGGCCGTGGTATCACTCCGGTCAAGCCGGCCCATTCGTGCCGAAGCATGGATCTCCCACACATAATATAACATTACGCATTTTATCCCCGAATGGGTAGGTAGAGGTGTTCATTACGGAACTTAATGCCACTGTACAATGTAACACCCACTTTTCACTATTTATGTTATGAGTCCCATGTAATAGGGGGTGAGGCTATTGCCATATACCGGGCACAATTCCAGACTCCGTGCTACCACTGAGAATGATTTAAAAAAAACCAGTAATATTTTATTTCAACGAATATTATATTATATTATATTAAAATAATACTCGTACTATTGTAAGACGAATGATTTATTACAATATTATGTTTTCCAAGAGCAATAAATCAAGCTGTCCTTAGTCCAGTATACTAGTACCTCCTTATTAAACAAATGGCCTGGTTAATAGCAGTAATTTAATAATTTCCTCCGAGTCACAGTCTACTTGAAATAATAACCTTTAATTGTTCGCAAGTACCGCATAAATATCAAATGTAATATTTGCAATGTGCGTAATTTATTCCACCTAGGAATAGGCATTAGTTGCGGTCAGGCGATTTCAGTACTAAATTTGACGTAGACTGAATTTAACTATATTAGCTTTGTAATAAAGTTTAGAATCTGTAGCAGAAAGCCTATTTTCGCTGATTCTCTATTTAACCCAAAGGTTCACTGGGAGATAATGTCATATGGCATTAACTCCGTCTTATGTACCATTATTGTATGTCTTATTTTGTGTGCATTAACACGTTCGTTGCATTACGAGTTCTATCAGATCTCTTGCAGGACTTTTGTATTGTGCTTTGAACATAATCGTGTTGTTTCAGTCCTTGCGGGAGGATCTAACGTGTAAAGTTCTTTAGTTATGAGTAGGACAAATATACATATCTGCTTCCTACATAAAAATGAATTCAAAGACATTAAAAAAAAATTAGAGATGGATTAGGTCCCTAACGCACAGTACTGTAATTATTTTCATTCCTTGCGTTAGGAGATATGTCGGTACTCGTGGAATCGTACGCCTCGTAGACGCAAGAGAGGGAAGGTGGGCGGCGCGGGCTCTGCGTGACTCGTTTTAGTGTTGTCCTGGCATCGACATGGGAGCTCGCGAGCACGTTTGCGAAATAACACTCGCGTATATACCTACGTGTTGATTATCATTTTTTTTAAACAATGAATGCTTTTAAAAGAAAAAAGTGTAAAAAATCTATTTACATAAGACACTCGAATAACGAAAGTGGCGACAAAAAAGACGTAGTGTTTGGTTGTTACGAAAAATTACGACCCACATTAAACAGCACTGACGCTTCTATAAAAACTAAACGAATTGTTACCATTTGCACGCAATGCAAGCAATCAATGTGCTTACTATGTTTTAATGAAAAACACTTTGCATAATTAATAAAACTTTTTCAATCGACAACTGAGATATTATTTTATTCCCATCACTACTTACTACACATATTGAACTATCTTCCGTTGCGGTACGAGATACAATCGATATCCTAATTTTGTTTGGTATTTGTAGTTTATTCAAATGTCATAACTGCGTGCGAACCTAGCAAAATATAAAGCAACTAGCGGCCCGTCCCGGCTTCGCACGGGCATTAAACATTACATTTAGATTTGTTAATTTTAACACATTCATAATAAAAACTTGATTGCGACTTCTCGCTCTTGACGTCTGTTGTCGTTCTCTCTGATCTTGAAGGCGTTGGAAACGCTCAGAGCTTGATTCCCTAGTGCGAGATTGAATATTTCTGATATTTTGCTCTTCAAGCCGCTGCAAACGCTGAGTACTTGACTCTCGCGCATGCACATGAGAAGTTCTTAGATTTTGTTCAGTAAGGCGCTGCGAACGCTCAAGACTGGACTCTCGCGCGCGTACCTGAGAGGTTCTCAAATTTTGTTGAGCTAGACGCTGTAAACGCTCAAGACTCGATTCTCGCGCGCGTGCTTGAGAGGTTCTCAAATTCTGATCAGCTAGTCGCTCTGAACGCTCAAGACTGTACTCTCGCGCGCGGACTCGAGAAGTCCTCACATTTTGTTCAGCGAGCCGTTGAGAACGCTGCAAACTGGATTCTCGCGCGCGTATTTGAGCGGTTCTCATATTTTGTTCAGCGAGCCGTTGCCGGTACTCGACTCTCTAGCACGCGATTGTGCCACATATTGTCTATGAATTGAAAGACGATTCTCAGTTTCTGATGAAGATTCTTCATTTCGACGTATTTTTGATGCCCTGGCCTGGGAACTATTTCTAGAAAGTTGAGATCTTGATCTTTTAGGCATTTCAAAATGACAAAAGAAAAAATTCCTTTGAACTAAATTAGCATAACTGTAAGCTATATATGCTACTATATTACAACGTACACAACTACCTACTATTTATTAAAATTAAATTGAAAATCATGAAAAATATTAAAGTAATTTATTAGGTTAATAACTAAGTGAACAATATTTTATATAAATGGGTTTAGTTCTGAAAAGAACTTTTTAAATCGGTTTAGTTACTTACTAAACGAATTATTATCAAGCGTAAATTCCGCACACGTCCATCACGTAGGGAGCCGACCGCGCGAGTGAGCCGCGCGGCAAGTTTATTTCGTGATCTTAACCCCCCTCCCGTAGAAACAGACCCGAGCGTACGGCGCGTCGCGTTCCGCGCGCGCCTCAAAGAGCCATCAGACCACCACAGATGGGGCCCAATAGGGCCGATGCCGATTCGGAGTCGCGGAGAAGCTAACGGGTAACCGGGGCTCCGGCTCGACGTGCAGGAGAAGGAACGGGGTGGTTTTTAGTCAGTAAGAGTCTGACACTCCCTTCCGCCTCACCCAGGCGGGAGCAGTCATTCGATGATTTTCCCCCCTTAAAAAAAAAACCCCTCCCGTACCCCTGCCCGAGCGACGCCGACGCCTACAACGCATAGCTAGCCGAATACAGTTTATTTTTTAATTTTTTTTTAACTCGTGATATCTTTTGAATGGATAGTCAGAATCGAATAATTCAAAAAGTAATATAAAGATATTGAAGCAGTCTTAAATAATACATCATTTATTTTGATAAGGGTTAATACCAAGGTACAAATAAAGAGCTTTTTGTAGCGGTGGTATTTTAATTTCTTTTTTTCAATAAAAAAAACGCTTATTATGACATGACTGTAATAGTTAGAGATATGCTGCCGCTGATTTTTTGTAGATAATGGTGTGTTCTAAAAAAATGTAGTATATCATTTTGTTCTATCATCAATAGTTTTCGCAGCGCACGTGATGTAAGGTAGTTTTTTGATATTTTTTTCACACCTTGGATTACGTTATCGTAATTTTAGTAAGGATGCCTATTTTTTTTGAAAATGAAATATAGCCTATGTCACTCAAGAATAATGTAGCTTTCCAACAGTGAAATAATTTTTCAAATCTGCCAAGTAGTTTCGGAGCCTATTCAATTCATACAAACAAACAAACAAACAAAAAATCAAACCTTTCCTCTTTATAATATTTGTATAGATAGGCTATCTTTCATCCACAAAAACTTAAAAATATATTTGATTGTTTTTTTGGAAGATATAAAATATTTTAAAAACTGTATCTTTAGGAGACCGATTAGGTCTCAAACACACCAAATGGTAGTTTAGTTTGGAGATCTTTTAGGTCTCCAAAGCACCAGCTGAAAGTTTTTTAAAAGTGATGGCGCAGGGAACGTGTTAAAGAGGTAATAAATAAAAAATAAATAAAGAAACTTATTTGAATTTCTTAACAGCTTCTTAAGCTGTCACCGCGACGGAAGCTTAAAAAGTGGAGTAACTTCTCTCGTTTTCCCAACATTTTCCTTCACTGCTCTGCTCGTATAGATTGTAGCGTGATGAAAAGTATACTATAACCACCCACTCCACTATAGACTTTATTTCCAATGTTTAGAGACTTCTTTTGTATGAACAAATGTAGTAGATTTTACGTACAATTTATCAAGTGATTAATTGTTGATGTCATGTAAAATTACTTGCTTACTATCTTCTGCCGCGTACTCCGGGGTATAAGTCAAAGTCAAAGTCAAAAGCATTTATTTCAATTAAACCATAGTTTGGTACTTTTGAAACGTCAACAAATACAAAATAAATAATAGTCTGTCAGTCAGTCCGTCAGTGAAACTAGGTGAAGCTAGGTGTAAGTAACCTATGTATTATTCCAGATCATTAAGCTATCCCTGTTCCAAATTTCACCTCCATACCTGCAGCCGTTTTTACGTAATTGAATAACAAACATACAAACATACACACAAACACAAACATTTATAATATTATAAAGTAAGATGGTACCATGCGGTTTCTCCACAGCCAGCAGTTCGTCCAGGAATGGGACCTTCGGAGATGGCTGTGGTCCTGAGGAACCTGATGCACAGACTTGGCTTCAAGAAGTTCTACGTGCAGGGCGGAGACTGGGGAGCTGTGGTTGGTCAAGATATGGCGACCATTTACCCGAAGGTATTTGTTCAGTAAAATAATTTTTGGCTATGTTACGCGAACTGCATCGCTCACCATGGATGAAAAATGATGTAGGTATGTGGTAAAAGTAATATAACCATGCCATTTAGACACTGTTATTAAATGGGACTTCTTTTATTTCAAGAAAGGACAATCCTCTATCGATCACTTATTTCCTTATCAAAATATCAAAGTGTAACATTTGCTTTTTATACCCTTAGTTACGCTGTGGGCAAACCATACGCTTTATGCGATTGCGGACTTACTGCTACTAATGAGACTGCTATTACTGCTCTCTAAAACCTTAAAACTATTATATACCTACCGTCACCGATGCGTGGTAGATGTCCCACCCATACGCACGAAGCGCTTCGCATCAACTTCCTTGTGCGTACTGTAAAGGAGTGGAATTCTTTGCCAGAGTCTGTATTTCCTGAAGGATATATAACCTGGGTGTCTTCAAGGCCCGAGTGAATAAGTTGCTTATGGGACGACGTGCTCCATCGTAGACCGCATCATCGCTAACCACCAGGCGAGATAGTGGTCAAACGTCGGCTCAACAAATATAAAAAAAAATACCAAATGCCTTAACTAATTCAGAAATTAATAAAGTCTAGAAAAAAAAATAGGTACCTAGTAGAAAGATCTGAATACAATTAATTATACTTCTTTCATAATTTCAGGAGGTGCTCGGATATCACACGAATCTTGCGGTATCGTTCGCACCTGCATCGATAGCGCTCTGGTTGTTGGGATCCGCGTTCCCCCCGCTGGTGGTGGAGCCAGAACTTGCTGATAGAATGTACCCGATACTGGGCCATGTGTACTGGCTCGTCAGAGAAACTGGATACTTCCACGAACAAGCCACCAAGCCAGATACTTTAGGTACATATTTGAAATCATTGAGTCAATCTTGAGTTCATCATCATCATCAACAGCCTATAAGTGGCCACTGCTGACTAAAGGCGTCTTCTCGCACGGAAAATTAATAACGATTAATTACCTCTCTTGCTCAATGCGGGTTGGTGATTTTAGGCTTATAATTAAATTATAAGCCCAGGTTTTCTCATGGTGTTTTCCTACACCGTTTGTGATTGGTGTCTTTATAATCTTAGAAAGTACATATAAACAGAAAAAGTGACATTGATACTTGCCGTTGGTAGGGCCACCACGACATATTTTTGAATTATCCTTACTAACATTATAAATCGGAAAGTTAGTTTGTTTGTTTGTTCCGCTTTCACGCCGTAACTACTAAACCGATTGCTTTGAATTTTTGCAGACGTAAAGTTAGAAGTCCGGATTAAATCATAGGGTACTTTTTATCCCGGAAAAATGTGATATTTCCGAGGGAAAACAAAAGTATTTGTATAGATGGCGCTGTGTGTATTGGTATATGTCACTTAGGCTACTTTTTATCCTTTTGTGACGTAGGTAAAAGCTGGTGATAAAATATTGTATAGAATTGTTTTTCAGCAAACCTCTCGTTTGTAGTTTAGAGTTCCATAGTCCAGCAGAGGATTCTCACAGGCTGTTGATGATGATGACGATTCTACTAGTACTAAGGTCTATTTAGCAGAATGCGAAAATAACGTGATTATGTTTATAGAAGGACAAAACATTGTATCCGTTCAAGAGATAGGTACTAAATAGCAAATTAAAAGGAGGGACTGTCTATTATTTACAAAGAACACATAACATAAGATAACATACATAACATAACATCACGCCTTATATCCTCGAAGGGCTACAAAGTCTCCTGTACAATGTAACACCCACATCTCACTATTTACATTACGGGTCTCATGTGAGGTGAGCCTATTGCTATATATCGGTCACAATTCCAGTCTCCGTGCTACTACTGAGAAATTTTTAGAGACCCAGTAATACTTTGCCGAACCCGGAAATCGAATCCTTGCCTCTTGCCCCCGGCAGTCTCACTTGCGACCACGCGGCCAACGAGACAGTTATTTACAAAGTATTAACATACATAACATCACGCCTTTTATCCTCAAAGGGGTAGGCAGAGGTGCACATTATGCCACTGTACAATGTAACACCCACTTTTCACAAAGTATTCTACCTCTAATATTAATGTCCAATCTCAAATTACATACTAGATCCAAGAATTCGGACATTTTGTTAAACGTTTTTTATTAAACTGAAGTCCAACTCCTGAATGTACCTGTTAACAATTTACTTTCTAAAATTCCAGGAGTATCAATGGCAGATTCCCCGTCTGGTTTGCTAGCCTACATCTTCCAGCTGTTCTCATCAGGCACTAGAAGGAAGTACTACTACAGGAATGACGGCGGTATCGACGAGCAGTTCACACGGGATCAACTGATCGATAACTTGATGATTTACTGGATGACCAACAGCTTCACAACCTCAACCAGGATATATGCGGAGTTCGCAACTCTGAGAAATTTCGGAATGGGGATTTTTGCGTGAGTCTTTTCCTATGACCTAGAATTTTGTTAGTAACAGTAGATTTATAGTTCTTACATATAGATATACATACATTTATTTATTTATTAATAATAAAGGTACATGGTATGCTTTTAATCTAACGCCATGTCCAACAAAACTATATATAAATAGTTTCACTGTTGGATCTTCTATATTTAAATTACTATTTATTATGATAATGGTTATGATTAATTTTAAATACCTACATATAGTTATGGTAGTGTGCTAAACAGATATTTTTTTAATTTAGTCTTAAATTTATTTTTATTTTTCTCTTCTCTGACTTCGTTTGGCAAATGGTTGAGTAAGCACGGGATACGCTTTTTCATTGATCGATCACCATAAACATTATGAACCCCTGGTACCTCATATTTACCAGACGACATCGATCGGGTGTTGTGTTTATTACAAACTGTTATCAGTGGTGGGTTATGTTCCTGTTTGCTGTGGTTATCGGTTGCGAGAATGTATTTATGTTTAAGTCTGACCGGTAATACTTTACAGATTTTACTGATATTACCTGACACCTGTCTCGTATGGGGGTAGACAGATGAGAGGTCGCGGAGAACCTAACGGGTAACCGGGGCTCCGGCTCGACGTGCAGGAGAAGGAACAGGGTGGTTTTTAGTCAGTAAGAGTCTGACACTCCCTTCCGCCTCACCCAGGCGGGAGCAGTCATTCGATGATTTTCCCCCCTTAAAAAAAAAAAAAAGACAGATGAGAGGAGACTATGGAACGTCAATTGCTACATAACTTATGATTGATTATTTCGTTTTCGGCTTACTCACGCAATTATTTGGCGAGGAATTCAACTTTATTCAACCGGCCGATTTCAATTCTATCTTCTTTACAGGATACCCACACCAGTTCCAACCTGGACGATCCACGCTAAAGACGAAATCATATACCAGTCTCCTACGTTACTGAGGCATAAGTTCCCGAACCTCATCAACTCTACAGTACTCAACACGGGAGGACATTTCCTGGCGTTTGAGATGCCTCGAGTATTTGCAGACGATGTCCTGGCTGGAGTCTCCGCATTTAGAAGGTGGCATTACCACAATAAGCTACAAAAAAATAAATATGAATTTTAATTATTGATATTTTTGTTTTGATGACCTTTTTTGTGTTTTTATTAGCACATAATTTAATTTGAATATGCTCATTTCTCCAGAGAACACTATGATGATAATTTATATAATGCTGCATCGTTGGCCGAATGGTCGAAAGTGCGACTGCCGGCCAAAGTGTTTGCCCGGTATATGGCAATAGACTCACCCCCTATTACATGGGACTCATAACAGATAGTGAAAAGTGGGTGTTACATTGTACAGTAGCATAACTGCCGTAAATGTGCACCTCTGTCTACCTCTTCGGGGATAAAAGGCGTGATCATATTAAAAACCTAATTGCTTAAAAACAAAAAAACTAGAATACAAATTACGACAGTTATTCGTATGCATAGTTACTCCTTTCCTATGGACAGGTTGGAATCCGGTGCCACAAGTCGTAAAGAAGATTAATTACTTATTTCATTAGATCAATATTTAATTACACATTGTCATATTTAAGTATAACTTGTATTAAAGTCAGGCCTAGTTATTTTTTAAGCATTGTGCCTTTTGCTTAAACCAGACCTAGAAAAGCTCCTGTAACACTTATCTGAGCAATGAACTGTTTAAATAAATAAGATATGTATGTACAATTCCATAAGGCACATACATCACTCATATATTACTTCTTTGACTTCGAAGAGGCCTTCGACTAGGAAAATAGATCGGTGACTTTGTTTAAAATTGTAAGGGCACAAACTTTTATCTCCTTAACTTTTGATGTTAGACTTTTATGCTACATAATGTTTTAGGATAAGCATAGGTTTTATAGAACTACATTTATTGAAAGTATTAACAAACTTACAGATATTACTTACACTTCTTATTGAAACAAATAATAAAAACTAAAATATTTACACCTTAAAAAAATAATAATTTTAGAACTGATTCCAAAATTTATGAATACTTTACTGTGAATAATAGAAAATTAATAAAAGTCTGGCTCGATTATTATAATTTAATTTCTGGTGTGCCTCAAGGATTAATACTTGGTCCTTTTCTGTTTGTTTTCGCAAAAACGATCTCAAAATCTCAAATTCAAATTCAAAAAATATTTATTTGCGTAAATAAGTTACAGATAGTTGTCATTTTCTAATAACTTACGTCCTCTTATTTTGCCTTCAACATCGGCGTGATGTTGAAGGCAAAAATAATGTAGGTACTTTACAGACTTGTCAAAATTTTGTTATAATGCTATCTCATTAAAGTTAACAAGTAGTTTTTAAACGTTTCATGTTCCAATAGAATCATAAATCAATAAATTTTAGTGAATTGGAATATAGGTCTTAAATCTTATTCGGTTTTTGTGGCATCCGCGGGAAGTGCAAGGGTGTTATATTACAGGGTATATTACATCAGATGTCATCACCACACGGCATCAACAAAAAATATCTATTAGTGTATCTGTATCATCCAAGTAATTTTTTTTAAGTTGTGCAATTGATGATGTATGATAGATGTGTATGCATCGTCATCACTCATCATCACTTTTTACTAGGTAAATTGTTCATTCCTGTTCACAAGGAAGTTTACCTACATTTATAAATAACAATTATTATCAGTTCTGTTGATATTAAAATGTGATTTATTGATAACGACTTGAGAACAATGTTGCCATGTGAAGTTGCAGTTAGCATTTTAGTTTTGGTAGAATTGACTTGATGTAGGTCGGTCAAGTAAGTACTTGTAAAAGATCTCGAGTGTGAACTTTGGGTTGGATACAATAATATTATAGTTAATTCCAAATTCCCAATTCCCAAAAGGTCGGTAACGCACTTGTAATGCCTCTGGTGTTCAAGGTGTCCATGGGCGACGCCGATTGCTTACCACCAGGTGATCCGTCAGCTTGTGTACCGGCTTATCCCATAAAAAAAAAACAATTTTGCTAATTACATCCAAACGAAGGTTAAACTATTTCGAATGGGTTTGATTACTCAGTATTATTAGACAACCTCGTTTAGTCCACTCTCGGCCCTTCGGCCCTTAGAACAAGATTTGCTCGTTATTGCTTTACTTATTTATTCTTTTGATTTTTTAAACGTTGCCCCCACACTAGGACTTTCTCCTGCGTCGTGGCTGCGTTTTCAAACGTACAAATTCACATATACATGACACCCTGACCCGAAACAACAATTTGTGTATCACTCAAAGAGCGGGAATCGATCCCGTGACACCTTGCGCGGCAGCCGGATGTCCAGCCACCGCACCAACCGTGCTGTCAGTGTCAACTTGACCCCAAAACACAGATCCAACTGGGCCTCGGGGGCCAAACTTTGACCACTTTCGGCCTAGCTGGCTTTATCTTACAAATTATTCTTACTTTAATTATAACTTTTACAACTACTACAAGTTCGACAATTTTTTTATTTTATGGCATAAGCCGGCAAACGAGCAGGCGAATCACCTGATGGTAAGCAATCGGCGTCGCCTTGGAACACCAGAGGCGTTACAAGTGCGTTACCGGCTTTTTGGGGATTGGGAGTTTGAGAAGGGTAATTGGCCACCGGTAAATTCACTCATACGACGAAACACAAAGCAAGCGTTGTTTCACGTCGGTTTTCTGTGAGGCTACTAGCTGTTACCCGCGACTTTGTCCACATAAAATATGATTCCTGTTTTATCCTATTGGAACATTTAATCGAGATAGAAATCCTATCACCTAGGTTAGCTCATACCCTGCCTGTATACCAAATTTCAACAATATCCGTTCAGTAGTTTCAGCGTGATTGACAGATAAATATCCAAACAAAGAAACTTTCACAATTAAAAATATTAGTGTGATTAAAAATTTTACAACATTTACAATCTATTTAATTAACATATTCAATCTATTTATATGTGTTACAACTTACATATTCTTAAAAATAGGTAGTAGTTTTAAAGTCCATCGTTAGTGGCAACACAGGTCGGTATCGCGCGCCGGCCGGCGACCAGCGACTAAATAACATTACGTCACAATCACATCACAGACAGATCACTTACCGTCCGTGTTCAACAGAGTCCATCGCGCAACGTGCTTGTGCGCAGTCGTATCATCTATTCATGTAAGTACCAATACTATCATTATTTTAAACACCTCCATAATATTTCTTGTCATTAATGCAAAATACATGATTAATACAGTCTTAATCAGTGTTAGGTAAACATTTAAGTTTTTAATGTACTTTTGTCGTTAGTTTTTTGTTGCTGTGTAAAATAAAAACTGTAAAGTCATCGTGTTTTTAAGTTTGAGTTATCTGATTGATGATTCTGTTTGTAAATATCAAAGTGTAGTGTGTAGTTATGCAGGATTGTAGTCGGACCGCTTTGCTTGTGTCTGTGTGAGTGCGTACGTAATAGTTTGGTAATATCTGAACTAGTATTGCGAAGAGGACATTGATCGTTTGTTTATTTACATTTAATGGACTTTGAATCTACAGGTCTCATTTAAAAAAAATCTTTCAGTACTGGAGACTTTGGTTTGAATGGTGTAACATCTCTGTCTATCGCTTTTCAACTAAAATTTTGTGATTATTAACAATTTTACATTTAAAGCGAATGTATTATCATTATCCCAAACTGGTTTGATACGATTAAAAACAACTTCTTTACAATAATGTAGGTATGTTCATTCTTTTTTTTTGAACTTTACTCCACATCTTATAATGGGCGGCGTCCTCCCTTACCAGTCAGGCGATCACTTCTGCTCATTTATCCCCTAATCCTATAAAAAACTTTCCAACTTCTATTCACCGGTTGTCAGTTGGTATTATAACATCGTCGACAATTAAGTAATTATGTGATATCCTTGAATCTGACGTAATCTAACAAATAACATCTTTATCGCTTGGCAATAAGATCGCTTCTTAAGAGTTTAGACTTTGTACAATTCAACCTTTGACTGTGTTTACTGTCGATCTTAATAAATACTGCTCCATTGTAATGTTGTCCAACCAAGACCGGTGGAATATTGTGTTTTTTAAGTCCCAGAGATTATTAACCGCCTACTTAAAGAATCTGGCACATTCTGTACCCCCGGGAAGCATAGGAACGATGGCAGATGTATTCAGCGTTTCACCATGACAAAACTATACAGCGTTTTACCAAGCGGCACTATTAACCCGTCGAGCGTCCGCGTTCCTTATGCATTTCCTTGTCCTTATGCATGCAAGAAAATGCATTTATTTGGCCATTGGCACACGAAAACAAGGATTATTACAATACGATTACAACAAAACATTTAGATTTTATAGAAGAGAAAGCAGCATGGAGCATTTTTTCTTATGATCCACCGGGTGCTTATAAGGACGCTCGAGGGGTTAAGGATCGATTTTTCAAATCAACGCTAGATAATTTTGTCATGGTGGAACACTAAGCTAGCTTCCAATATCATATAGCTAACATACATAGGATGTCTTTATTTACGATAAGGGGGGGTATTGTCCAGACGCTCACTGCGTTTGACTGAAAGATTGCTAATCTCCGGTCATAGTCGCCAAATTAGAGGTCACTGCCACTTCCATCTTTTCCTACGATTCAAATGTATTTATAGACGTCAAATGCAAGGATACAGGATCTTTGTTATCGTCATATCAGTCCCAAGACGTCTCCTGTTAAACAAAGACCTCCCACAATGACTTCCAGATCAGCCAGTTGGAAACGACTTAGATCCAGCGGCTCTCTGCGCTCTGAAGTATAACTCTAACCTTTGTTTTCTTCGCGAGACGATCTCCGGCCACCGTAAGCGAGCATGGGTGGCTCCCCGTCCGACCAGAAACAGACCCGAGCGTACGGCGCGTCGCGTTCCGCGCGCGCCTCAAAGAGCCATCAGACCACCACAGATGGGGCCCAACAGGGCCGATGCCGACTCGGAGTCGCGGAGAACCTAACGGGTAACCGGGGCTCTGGCTCGAAGAGCAGGAGGAGGAACGGGGTGGTTTTTAGTCAATAAGAGTCTGACACTCCCTTCCGCCTCACCCAGGCGAGAGCAGTCATTCGATGATTTTCCCCCCTTAAAAAAAACCTTTGTTTTCTTGACCTAATTGCAAGAGTTTATGGCAAATCTCTTCTTATAAAAAAGATCTTTCGAATAATGATGTTTTGTAACTATTATTTTTCATTTATTTTCCGTTTGACCACGACCAGTGTGGCTAACTTTTTTAACGTTTAATAACAAAAAATCTAAAAATTGCAAGACTTCTACTTCACTTGCTGTAATGAGTAATTTATGTTGAAGTAGTTAGGTAGGTACATGTTTCAAAGGTCGGGCTAATTATCAAGATTTACCTTGAATGTCCAAAGTCCATTATCGTGAAGATAAACAGAAATTTGTACTTTGGTATAGATAGAGTAACTGAATCACGCATTTACGTATAGAACCCACGTATATTGTTCAAATCACCATCACCAGTCTGTGATAGTCCATTCTTTAACTATTCCGGGATTGGTTACGAATGGTATCTCCTCCACATAAGACAGTTTGCCGTCTCTTGACATTTGCGTGTGGACTAGAGTTTGCAAATTCTGGTTTATCAGAGCACACTGCTGTCCAGTCTCTGTTAAAAATGTCTTAATCAACTATAACAACACCCTTAGTGCATCATCTATCATTTTTCATTTTCACAGTTTTTAGTACGGAAGAATTGTCAAATATTCAAAGTTATTTCTCAGTCAAAATTTATCTGGCGTTTGGAAAAATCGGCCCTTAGGGCTCGTACACAAAACTGTGATGCGACGTCGCATCGCAAAAATGTGCGACTTCCCTCTACTCACCTTATCTTTCCATATCTAGTATCATCTATATATATATGTCACATATTATCTTTGTTTCTCTTTCCTATACCTCCTAAGCAATAACAGAAATGCATACTTATTTTTACGATCAGTGTCACGACCTAGTTTTCAATTTAAAATACGTTTAGTAAGGTTGACGGTCGACGAAGGAATGGTCACCCCGGGAGACGCGTTGTCGCACGAAATCGCATTGCAGCAATTCGCATCGTAATTTTCTGCGTTGCGAATTTGCATCGCATCGCAATTTGTGTACAAGCCCTTACTCATTAGTTGGCTTCTATAACACCCGCTGACAGAAGAATATTGAAGAAAATTGTTGATAATTTATAGCCACTATTACCTACTCTCCATTTAGAATTTTCCAAATTGGTCAGTAATTTTAAAGTCTGTTCAATGCACAGTGTGATCTTTCCTCTTCGTAATATTTACTGGTGTAGACTCTGATATAACGGCTGTAACTACAAGACGTTACTGACGTAATGGTGTGCAGCGAGCCATGCGCCCGCTCCCAAGTTACAGTCACAATTATTCAATATTTAATTTATTACCGTTACACCTACAGCGGTTCTGAGTCATATTCGAGTCTGCTTAAGTAACTATGTATTCGGCAGCAATACACTATTTGAGTTACTGATGTCAATCCAATTTTTTTTTTGGGATATAGCCAGTAAACGAGCAGACGGATCACCAGATTGTAAGCAATCGGCGTCGCCCATGGCCACCCGTACCGCCAAAGGCGTTACAAGTGCGCTACCGGCCCCTTTGGGATTAGGAATTCGAGAATTATTGGAGATTCAGGGACACTTCTCATCATCGTCTTTAGATTGATATTGATTTTTTCACATTTAACCTATGGAAATTCTGTCAAATTCAAAATGTATTATGTGGTATTCTCAGAAAAGATACCAAATGTAAAAACTTTATTGGGTGGCCTCTCCACCTTGTGATTCGACGTCCTGCTTTTGTTTGCTGGCACAAAGTTGTACTAACCAACGCCAAATTGCATTGAGCAAGTGTGGTAATTGATGCTCAAACCTTGAGACGTGAGACAGTGAGAAGAGGCCTTTGGTCAGCAGTGGCTACTTATAGGCTGTCGATGACGACAAAGTTTTACAGAAACCGAATTTATGATGATGTATCTAATTTTATCATAGTGTAATAATAATAATTTTGTAGTCGTGGTGGCCCGAAGGTTTAAGACGCCCGCTTCTCATGCATGAGGGTGCGGGTTCGAAACCTACCAACGGCAAGTACCAATGTGACTTTTTCCGAGTTATATTTACTTTCTAAGATTATTTAGACACCACTGACAAACGGTGAAGGAAAAATATCGTGAGGAAACCTGGACTTATAATTTCTAATTATAAGTTTGACATCGCCAACCCGCATTGAGCAAGCGTGGTGATTAATGCTCAAACCTTCTCCTTGTGAGAAGAGGCTTTGCTCAGCAGTGGACATTTATGGGCTGTTGATGATGTATCTAATTTTTATTTTGTTTCAGATAGCAATGGGTTTCTTAGTGAAAGTAGTGTTAGTTGCCGCGCTGGGTGCGGCAGCGTGGTACTACTTCAAGGGTTGCTGTCCAAAGACCATCCCAAAGCTGGACAACAATGAGTGGTGGGGTCCTAAGGAACTAGTGGGCAAGCAGGACAATTCTATCAAGCCATTCAAAGTCAAGTTTGATGAAGCGGTAAGTTGATTTCTTTTTGAATGCATATGATGGCCCCTTTTTAATTCGGAAAAAGGTATTTTAGTAAAACTATCACTGGTCACAGAAAACCGGTGTAAGAGAATGCTTTTGTGTGTTTCGCTGTTTGAGTGACGTTACCGGTTACCCAATTTTCTTTCCCATTTGTAATCGTATAGAAATCGTAAACCATAACGAATTTGAGTACCTTCGCACTCTAACCGAACCTAATCCTTAAACTGTCAAACACCGAGCGATAACCAGTGACCGCAACCAATATTGTTCTATAATTGTGTCTATAATGACGGTACTCACGGCAGTCAATGCACTTGTTATTCTTCTGGTGTGATGTCAATGGGCGACACCCATAGTTTATCATCAGGTAATCCAGCTACTAGTTTGCCTATAAAAAAACATATCTTCTATAGAATAACTGTTAAAAACTAACAAAAAATAACAATAAGGAAAAAAACTATATTTTTGCATTCGCTACGAGTACGAAGTTCATTATGATATTTTATCTAAGTGACATAATACTCAAATCCGTGTATGAGATACGTAAAAATAATATTTTTATCTTTATAAATATGTATTTGCTGAACAAGTTAATGTAGGTAAGGTCATTCCATCATTGCTGTGATTAAATCTTCACTGCTCATCATGACTGGCAAAAAATGAACCACGCAGGATCTAGAGTACCGTGTTGTTCTTGAAAAATTATCAAATAACAAATTACTACAAATCAGCATTATTATCATCTTACTGCTAGGTAAAGGCTTTTCCTCCCATAAACCACGGCCTTACAGAATACCAACGTGAAACACCGCTTGCGTTATATTTCGTTGTGTGAGAGAGGTTACCGGACGCGCAATTAATTGCCCCAATCTCCCCTGAATCTACAACAATCCTCAAATTCCTAATCCCCAAAAGGCCGGTAACGCACTTGCAACGCTTCTGGTGTTCCGTGTAGCCATAGGCGATGCCGATTGCTTACCATCAGGCGAGTCGTCCGGTCGTTTATCGGCTTTTCCATATTATAATAAAAATTGAAGAAGAAAATTGAGCATGCAACACACTTTCTACGCAGGTTTTCCCAAGCTAAGCTATAGCTATAGGGCCCACTAAAAAGTCGCATGCGACCCACCGATAAGCCGGGACCGCTTTTTTAGTGGGCCCTATCTGTAGTAAGATGAACTAGCCGAACGTTCTGTATTTTGTTTTTTATATTGGTAACGGCTTATTTCCCCTACGATGGGTCCTGAGTTCGTGAACTTGATTTAGTTACATCGTAGTCTAGACAACTTTAGTAACCACAGTTCTACAGTATGGCGAATGACATGCCTCGCGACATCGCCTGCCTTGGAGCATTCCAAGAAATATTTGATACTAGCTTTTACCCACGGCTTCGCTCGCGTCACAAAAGGATAAAAACTACCCTATGTGACATATACCAATACATACAGCGCCATCTTTACCAATAATTTTATTTTCCCTCGAGAATATCAAATTTTTCCGGGATAAAAAGCACCCTATTATTTAATCCAGACTTCTAACTTTACCTCTGCAAAATTTCAAAGCAATCGGTTTAGTAGTTACGGCGTGAAGGCGGAACAAACAAACAAACAAACAAACTCACTTTCCGATTTATAATATTAGTAAGGATTGATTTAATTAAGCATAGAATTGATCTTTCTTTAGCCCAAGTTTCCTCACGATGCTTTCAGTACCCTGTGCCAATGATATCTCTAGATTATGAACGTTCTTGTAAAAAATCACACTTTTATTTGCCAGGGTAAATAATACAATACTTTAATCAGTAGTGTAGCTACTCATGCCACAACTGTTGTGATTAAAATTAATCTTTATGTTATTTTTATTCTTATCATTATGCATTTTCCGAACTTGTGAAGAGTGTGTGTGTTTCATCAGGCTCATAATTACTGATACATCGTAGGACATCGTCCATCCCACTAATGTTTATACATTGTTGCAGATGATAAAAGACCTAAAACTACGTCTAAAGAACCACCGTGCATTCCAACCACCGCTAGAGGGCGTTGGTTTCGAATATGGTTTCAACACCGCACAAATCGATAGCTGGATTAGCTACTGGGCTGATAAGTACAACTTTAGTGAACGAGAGGCCTTCCTCAACAAGTTCCCTCACTTCAAGACTAATATCCAGGGTCTGGACATTCATTTCATCAGAATAAAACCTGAGGTAAGTTTAGAAAATAAAAAAAAACAATTGAGTACATCATAAGCTCGTTACAGAGCACTGCTGGACTAATAGTCTTATATTATATTATTTGATGTTGGAGATTTCTCCTTCTCGGGGTTGACCCGGTGAAAATGGGCACCGCGTCCCGCGACCCGCAGGAAAAACGATGCTCATAGCCCCCTTCTAAATTTAGCTTCTATATCTCCTTCTTCCTCTTCTGCTGACTTCTTGACTAATGACACTGTCTGTGTGTGGTTCTGAGTTTTGTGTGGGTGTAGCTTGTATGAAAGTTGTGGATTGCGAGTTTTGTGTGATGGTTGATTGAGTGGTATGTGGTGTGTGTGCTTGAGATGGTTGTAATTGATCGGAATCTGGAATGTTTGTGACGAATACTGTGTCTCCTAATACTTTGCTAAGAATGGTTGTTGTGTGAATGGCGGCTTGCTTCTGAAGAATTGTAATGTCTATTGATGTTTCTAGTTTGTCTGTGTATCTGCTGAGGCTTTTGGCTACTACTCCTGTGGCTCCTATTACTATGGGAATAACATGTGTTTCAGTATTCCACAGGCGTCTTATCTCTGTCTTTAAAAGGTGGTATTTACTCAACTTCTCTATTTCTTTTGCTCCTATGTTGTAGTCACTTGGTACGGTTATGTCAATGAGGTATGTGGTGTTGGATGTTTTGTTTGTGTATATTATGTCCGGTCTATTGTGGGCAACTGTGATGTCTGTCTGAATTGGGATTTCCCACATTATTTTGCCTGTTTCATTTTCAACTACTTTGGGTTGGGTGAGAGTCTCTTTCCACCAAAGTTTGTCAACGTCCATGCTATGCTTACGAGCAAGACACCAGTAGACATACTGGACAAGATTATTATGCCGTTTGACATAATAGGTTCCTGCCAGTTTTTCGCAGCCAGATATTATATGCTGCGCAGTTTCATCCTTGATAGCGCACAGTCGGCACTTACCGTCTACTGGGTCTTTCAGGATGTCGCGTTGATGTTGTCGCGTCATAACCGCTTGGTCCTGTATCGCAAACACGGACGATTCTATTGATGGGGAGACCTGTTGCTTTTTAATCCACTTGAATGACTGCACTATATCTATATTCTCTTGCTCTAAAACTTTTTTTGCAAACTGTCCGTGAAGTGGTTTATTGTGCCATCTGTTAATCTGATTTCTAATTATGGCATCCTTAATTTCCCTATCTGTATGTCTATGGTCTATTGCTAGCTCTAGTTCAGATTCTATTTCTTCTGCTTCTTTAATTATTGAGTATTTATCTTTATTTATATCATGTTGAACTATTGTTTTTATTAGGTGATCCTGCTCTACTCTAAGATATTGCTTGTACTTTATTATTTGTGCTTTATACATGTTTTCTACATTTATTAATCCCCTACCTCCATACGTAACCGGTAAGTATAGTCTTTCTACGTCTGCTTTTTGCTGGTGTGCTTTATTCATTGCAAGTAATTTTCTAGTTTTTGTATCTATTTTCTTAAGGTCACTATTTTTATAGTTAATGATAGCAAGTGAATATAAAAGAATTGGAATAGCGTAAGTATTGATGCCTTTTATAATATTGCGTGAATTTAAGTGTGAGTTCAGTAGCTTTTTGACTCTTTTAAAATATTCTTTGATTACCTGTTCTCTGATGGCACTATGATCTATCTTCCCTGATTCGCTTACACCTAAGTACTTGTATGTGTTTCCTAGTCCTAATTCACTGAACTCCTCACCACTAAGCAGAACGTGTCCTTCCCCAGTAGTACCACTCCGATGTCCTAAATTTAAGTGTAGCACGTTGCATTTATGTAGTCCAAATTTCATACCTACGTCTATTGTAAATATTTCTAAGCTATCTAACAGTGTCTTTAAGTTACTTCTATTGTTTGCATATATCTTTAGATCATCCATATATAGCAGGTGGTTAATGTAATAACTGTCTCTAAGTTTGTATCCTTTAAATTCGTATTTGTTTAAAATATGGGAAACTGGGTTGATGGCAAGGCAAAACAGCAGAGGTGACAAAGAGTCACCCTGGAATATACCGCGTCTGATGGAAATCGGCTCAGTAGTGATTGATTCGTGGGTACCTTTGGCTGTCATCATGACTTTCCAAGATGGCATAGTCATCTCTAAGAATCGCTTGATCATGGATGGGCACTTATAGATATCAAGAACTTTAAGAAGCCATTCGTGGGACACACTATCGAAGGCTTTTTGATAGTCTATCCACGCCATGCTCAAGTTTTTCTGCGATGCGTGTGCGTCCTCCAATATGGCCTTATTGACCATGAGATGGTCCTTACACCTCGCGTACCACGTCTGCATCCACGTTGTTCTGCAGCCATTATGTTGTTGTTACTGCAGTGATTGTATAAACGTCAGCTAGCACTGAAGTTAATAATTTGTACATACTGGGTAGACACGCGATAGGTCTCCAGTTTTTCGGGTTTTCAGTATCAGTATTTTTGGGAACAAGTATAACCTGACCTGTTGTAAACCACTCTTCTAGGTTTTCAGTTCCCTGAACTATTTTAGTGAATAATTTGGCAATGTATTTATGAGTGCTTGTTAAATATTTCAGGTAATAGTTTTGAATTTTATCTATTCCCGGTGTTTTCCAGTTGTGTAGCTTTTTAATTGCATATTTAATTTTATCTATTGTTATTTCTTCCGGTTCTATTGTATTCACTTCTGACATTGATTCTTCTATTTCTTTTATCCATACAGCGTCAGTATTATATTTTATAGGATTAGATAAAATGGAACTCCAGAACTGCTCTACGTTTTCTTTACTAGGTATTTTAATTTCCTGCGGTTCTGTATGGTTACCTAAGCTTCTATATAATTTATGCTCATTTTCTTTAAATAGTTTGTTTTGTTCTCTCTTACTGTTTGTATCCTCGTACCTTTTTATTCTCCCTGCTAATGCTTTTATTTTCTGTTTTAACATTTCTGCTATATTTTTATGATCGTTTTCGCTTTGTATGTTGTATTTATTGTACAAGTATGCCCTACTCCTGTCCATTCTAGGCGACCTAACTCCTCTTTCTATTTCAATTAATCTAGCTAGCTCTTTCCTAAACTTGTTTATCTTCTTTTGAATTCGTATTTTCCAGGTGGGGATTTTTGAGGGTTTTATTATATTGCTTGGTTTATATGGTGTTTGGTTATTGTTGATTATTAGGGTTTTAGCGGCTGCGTAAATGATGTCATTTATTTCTCTTAGTGTGGTGTTTATCTCTAAAAGGTTTGGTAAGTATATATTTAGTTTATGGCAGTTTTCAAAGAATTGTTTGTTAAAATTAGCTTTAGGTAATAGTTTTCTGTCTGCAATAGGTGTTTCTCTTACCCCTGACAGGGTGCTTAAAAAGCTCAATATGATTGGGTCCTGGTTTTCACTCTCTAATATGTTTTGTGTTGCCTGTATTATTGTTTGAACTTCGTCTGGTGTGTATGCTTGCGCGTGAGTGTCTTGAATGTCATGTTGTGTATCTGAGTTAGAATTATTAACTGTTTCAGTGTTTTCAGCTACCTCTACTATTCCTTCTGCGTTTTGCTTTATGCGGTTCAGTAATTCTTGTGAGAGCATATTGTTTTTTATTATTGTACGTGCTTGTGTAGATAAAGAATATCCATTAAATCGATTGATTTTAGGGTTGTGCGGGTTTCTTTCAATATATATACGTTGTAGTCTATTTATATATCCTGATCCTGTTGAACGCGCTTTATAGTAACAGAACATAAGTTCTATCATTTCCTCATGACTCCATCGTCTTCTTCTGTCATCGCCTACTGTCTCAATGGGTGGTGGCCCAGGATCCTCTGCTACCCCGGGTGGTGTAGTTCTGGACTGTGTGCAATGTTGTTGTATGTTAGTGTCAGTATATTCCGCGTGTTGTGAGGTATCTATAGTGTGAGTGATACTGGGTGTTGGTTCGCGTGAGCTACGGGTGTTGTGAGTTTGCTCAGGTTGTAGTGTGGGTTCTTCTGCTCTACTTTTTATTTCATTAAGGATTTCTATGGGTATTTTTTGCCGGGCTATTATACTTCTTGCCTGTGTTGATAATGTGTTGCCAGTAAATGTGAATGCTTTGGGGTTATTGGGGTTTCTGCTTCTGAATAATGTCTCTAATCGTTTGATGTATCCTGGTCCTAATGCTCTAGCGCGATAAAAGCAAAATATAAGTTCTTTAAGTTCTGCGTTTGACCACTTTCTGCGTGTATCTTCATTCAATGTTAACGTGGTCGAGTGGGATGTACCGACGGAGCTGACTGGAGATATTTCCCCACTCCGCAAAGTATCATCCTCAGGGTGGTCGGCTGTAATATTTAGGGCGCCCCTCTCTTCTCCCACCCCGACTCCTGCCCGCCTGTTCAGCAGAGAGTCGCTGGCTAGCCCTGCTACACGCCCGTCACCAGCCACAGACGTGTCCCGGCGATAGCCCCCGGGTAGCGGCGTTAAACGTTTATTCCTTTATTACTCTCCATATTTTCTGGGTTGCCAGAGCCCCGTTGGTCACCCGCAAATGTTATTTCGTTTGCGGTTGTCCGCCACTCACGTGAGCATAGATGGTCAGCTCGGACGTGGGGTTGAACTTGTGAGTGGCATATTATATTATATTATATTATATTATATTATATTATATTATATTATATTATATTATATTATATTATATTATATTATATTATATTATATTATATTATATTATATTATATTAAGGGGGGTATTTTCATCTATATGAATAAAAATGAATTTCCATTCGTTAGTTTCCCTAAAACTCGAGAACGGCTGAACCGTATTGGTTAATTTTGGTTATAAAATGTTTGTGGAAGTCCAATGAAGGTTTAAACGTTAGCAAAAAATTTAAAAGTAAAGCTAGTTGCTCATTGCAAGGTGTAGATTCCTATGGAGAAGAACGAGCAAGAAACTTCATAGGTATGATATGAAAAATTTTTTTGGACGATTCATCTTATTCATCGTAGAAAGCGTATTATAGGGATTTGCCTTTCTCCGTACTGAGAAGCGCGTAGTAACAATTGTAGGTATTTTCTCCTGTCCTGACTTTGAAAGAAATTTGTGTTAGAACTATCATAGATTGACTGCCTCGTTGGCCGAGTGGTCGCTAGTGCGACTGCCGGGCAAGGGGTCTCGGATTCAATACCCGGGTCGGGCAAAGTATTAATGTGTTTTTTAAAAGTTCTAAGTAGTAGCACGAAGTCTGGAAATCTGCCCGGTATATGTCAATAGGCTCACCCTATATTATATGGGTCTCATAACATAAATAGTGAAAAGTGGGTGTTACATTGTACATTGGCATAATGTGCACCTCTGCCTACCCCTTCGGGGATAAAAGGCGTGATGTTTTGCTATCATAAATTTTGCGATGATTTTCTTTTCGTTCAGGTTCCCAAAGACGTGGAAGTGCTCCCGCTCCTCATGATCCACGGATGGCCCGGCTCTGTGCGCGAGTTCTATGACGCTATCCCACTGCTTACCCGTCAGACAGCTGGATACAACTTCGTGTTCGAACTGATCGTCCCCAGTATACCTGGGTACGGATTTTCAGATGTGAGTATAGAAGGAACAATATAGAAATCACTAGACGTTTGTGTAATTTTGATAAGCTACAGATAATAAAGGTCTTCTTGAAGAGAAACAAGTGTGGGAGAGCCATGCTTCGGCACGAATGGGCCGGCTCGACCGGAGTGATACCACGGCCTCACAGAAAAACGACGTGAAGCAACGCTTGCGTTGTGTTTCGTCGTGTGAGTGAGGTTACCGGAGGCCCAATTACCTTCCCCTTCCCCAATCTCCCCAATCCCTGAATCCCCAACGATACTCAAACTCCTAATCTCCTAAAAGCCGGTGACGCACTTGTAACGCCTCTGGTGTTCCAGGTGTCCATGGGCGACGGCGATTGCTTACCATCAGGTGATCCGTCTGCTCGTTTACCGGCTTATGCCATAAAAAAAACAATACTTAAAATATATCTCGCGTTACTTTTCATATTTTCAAGTTCATCCTGACTTTAAACTCTTCGTGTCTAAAATCAATTCATTTTCCACAGCCTGCTGTAAGACCTGGTCTAGGTATGCCCCAAGTGGCTGTAATCTTCCGAAACCTGATGAACAGGCTGGGACACAAGAAGTTCTACGTGCAAGGAGGTGACTGGGGTGCAGGCATCGTCAGCGTCATGTCCACTCTCTTCCCTGAAGACATTCTTGGACATCATTCCAATATGCTGGTCTCTCAGGTCAGTCTACAAATCTTTTGATAGAAAAGTCTAATTTTTTTTTAGATTTTCCAGTTCTATGATTATTCTGGGCCTGAGACGTAACCATCAAAATCAATCCCACAGTTTTCGTGTTTTAAATCATGTAATTAACATAGGCAATCGCTTAATATTAATTGAATAGGTATAGATAATAGGGTAGTTTCCTAAATTTTATTTTAATGTCCGGCTGGTACATTCATTTAAAACTTTAGACACGTATTTTTTCTTTTCTCAGAAAAATTAAATATTTTCGACGGTATATTAATTTGAAATATCATGTGACATCACAGCGTGCCACATTTTGTAGCACGTTATGACGTAACGACCTCCCACTCGTAAACTTAGCGCACATTTTTATTAACATTTTATCTAAGTATGACAGCGTAATACGAGAAAATAAAAAAAATACGTGTCTAATAATTTTTCATTATTTAACTGACGGACTAATTAGATTTTTAATTTTGATACCCTGGAAAGTACCCAATGAACCGTTTGAATGCCTGTATATGAGACACAATAGAAAATATATTGTGTCTCGCGTGGATCCGCGTTTAGACACACGGCAGGTTACGAAAGAATGACAATATACATATACACAAAATGGCTTCCATTACCTCCCATTCTTATTTCATTGTTGTAACTTCTCTATTAGTATAAGTCTCTATTTTCCATAGCACACATGCTCCATGGTAAGGACCTTCGTCGGTGCCTTCTTCCCATCCCTGATAGTTGAGGAGCATCTAGCGAGCAGGATGTACCCTCTGTCCTCATTCTTCGCCTATGTATTGGAGGAATTCGGCTACATGCACATACAGGCTACCAAACCTGATACTATTGGTAAGTAAAAATCTATTTTATTCATTGACTCTTTCCTCATCATCATTTTATGTTTTCTCCCGCTTTAGGTTAAGCGAGAAGTGTCAGATTCTTACTGACTCATTGCCTTTACTAGTTTCTTCATCCACCATTATGAAAAAATATAACAACAATGTCTTAAACTTTGTAGAAGTAGTTTGTAGTTATTTCGCTCTATAACATCATCTTGTCTCATCATCATCGTGAGAGCCCACTGCTAGACTGTGGGCCTCTACCACAAAAGAGGGGTTTCCATAACCCACGTTTGGCAAGCAGGTTGAAAATTGTGAATAATCGGATTATCAGACAATGCTGCTACTCATTCTCTGTATATACACCCGAAACACCAGTGATAAATGTGTTCTACTCTGCTGTTACTATACTGCTATAACATCATGACTTATCTGCTGCCACCTAATCAACATCATCTTCTCTCGCAGGAGTACCACTCACAGATTCTCCAGCTGGTCTTCTAGCTTACATCCTTGAGAAGTTCTCCACTTGGACCAAGAAGGAGTACAAGTTCAAGGCCGACGGTGGTCTTGGCAACAGGTTCACGAAAGACCAGCTCATTGACAACCTCATGATCTACTGGTCTACCAACTCCATCACTACTTCCATGAGGTTCTATGCTGAGAACTTCTCCCACAAAATTATGTCTTTGGGATTGGACCAGTGAGTATTCGTTTTGTTAGTATAATAGATGGCTAATTGTTTCTTTGTGTGTTACTAATAATTAATTCTGGATTAGCTACTAAATTTCAGAACTTAGGTTTTCTATTCGGAATTAAAACAATTATTTTAGAGTAGAAGTATGTTATGGATTTACGTATAGTAACGCCTGATTCTATTCTGTATTCCTTGTCATTACACTGACGCATTAATCAAAAAGAATTTGGTCCAACAACAAATAGAACTTTTTTTCTACAAACCTGTCAAACAAATTCACTTATCTTCACCACTTTTAATAGGATCACAACACCAGTACCAACATGGGGTCTCCAAGCGAAAGAAGAATTGATGTACCAACCACCAAATGTCCTGAGGACAAAGTTCACAAACTTGATAGGAACGACAGTGTTAGATGATGGAGGTCATTTCCTGGCCTTCGAGCTGCCTCAGGTCTTCGCCGCAGACGTGTTCAAAGCGGTGAAGGCATTCAAAGAATGGCACCAGACGAATAAGAAGACTGAGTTGTAAACATTGGTTAAGGATTTATTAAAGTTTTTATGGTTTTCTATATAGGTGTTTCATTTTTTACCATATTATGCCTGACTATTTTGTAGACTTTCTGTAGCTTTATTGCTTTTGTTGTAAATCGAAAATATGGATTTTTTAAAGGGGAAAATCATATCATGACTTCTGCCAAACTCTTACTAAATAGAAACTACCCCATTCCTAGTTCTTGTCTTCGAGCCGGAGCCCCGGGAACCCGTTAAGTCCTCCGCGGCTCCGATTTCGTTACCCTAGCATGGAACAATAGGTACAAATATAAAGCACATGAAACGGCTCAAAAACAAAAGACAACCTTAACAATTTGTAATAAAGTTCCAACTGCATTAAACGTAGGGTAGCTTGATGTACTGGCGTCTACAGTATGAATAGTCTTTGTATGAAACCCCTCTTAACCTTCAGCTTCAACAAGATGTAGAAATACCAGTTTTAATTATAATAAAGAGCCTGTTCATAAACGACTTAGAATCTTGGTCAAGTTTTTGTTTGACCTAATTTAAAATATCTCGTTTACCTAGATACTACTGCTTAGGACGACAAAATTTAGATTGAAAGCTGCTGGGAAATCGTAGGAAGTTAATTGTAGCCTATATTTAGCATTCATCATCTAAAATTCGATTTTAGAAGTGTGCTCGATCGCATTCTCGCTCGTCATTGAACCTACCTGATGTGGTAATGATGATAAAGATTTTTTTTATGGCATAAGCCGGTAAACGAGCAGACGGATCACCTGATGGTAAGCAATCGACGTCGCCCAAGGACACCTGGAACACCAGAGGCGTTACAAGTGCGTTACCGGCCTTTTGAGGATTTGGAGTTTGAGGATTGTTGGAGATTCAGGGATTAGGGAGATTGGGGAAGGGGAGGGTAATTGGGCCTCCGGTAACCTCACTCACACGACGAAACACAACGCAAGCATTGCTTCATGTTGGTTTTCTGTGAGGCCGTGGTATCCCTCCGGTCGAGCCGGGCCATTCGTGGCGAAGCATGGCCCTCCCACACTTTTTAATTAAAGAAAGCCCTATAAGGTAACGCAGCTTACAATTTGTAACTGAGTATTCGATAGTCAAGTAAGATTCTTACGACTACTCATAACATAACACGTGATTTATTATGCACAAAACGTTTTATGAATAAGTATTTTAGAATTTATTCTAGTCATCTATTCGTATACAAAATAAAATTATACAATAAGTGATATAATCAATTCAATTATTAAGCCAAGGATTCACTAGGGGACAATGGCCCCCGACATGTACCGGCGACTTATTATAATAATAATAATACTTTGTTTATTTATTTTTCTCCCATTTCTTACATAATATATAAAATCATAACAGGTAAAAAACATATTTTAGGTAAGTAGATACCGTACGTAACAACAAACTTTTAACAAATGTTAAACGAAGCCCATCAATTTTGCCCGACGAATTATAAGGCGACAACTCGCGCCTTATGTCCACTACGACGTTGATGTTGCCCGACATGTTGACCATACATTTCATTACACGGATATATTTCGGAGAGTGTACGGGGGAATTGCACAACTTGATTCCCCGTAGTCCTTTCCATCATCATACCACAAGATCATCGGCGAAACGCCACCGATTCATGGTAGATGTCCCACCCACATGCACGAAGCGCTTCGCATCAAGCTTCCTTGTGCGTACTGCTAAGGAGTGGAATTCTTTGCCAGACTCTGTATTTCCTGAAGGGTATAACCTGGGTGTCTTCAAGGCCCGAGTGAATAGGTCGCTTATGGGACGACGTGCTCCATCGTAGGCCATATCATCGCTTACCACCAGGCGAGATAGTGGTCAAACGTCGGCCCATTAACTCGTCGAGTACCGGTTTTATAGACACAATTAAAGAACAATAGGTCGCGGTCACCGGTGACCGCTTGGTGTTTGACAGTTTAAATATAAAAAAAAAACAAAGTCCGGCAACGTCGCGCTACTCCACCCAACGTCGCTGGCGACACGTGTCGCATAACATTTGTCCGCAAGTGTAATCTTAGCTTTATAACCACTTGGTCTTTTTGGTATGCGAAATGAATGTAAAGCCGATTTATAAACAAAACAAGAATCTTCTATTATAATTAGGTAGTACTAATATAAATTCACAACAATATTGTATACTTACTGTATTGTACTTTATTGTAGATACTAATTTTATGACTGCCTCGTTGGCCGAGTGGTTGCAAGTGCGACTGCGGCAAGGGGTTTCGGGTTCGATTCCCGGGTCGGGCAAAGTATGACTGGGTTTTAAAAAAATTCTCAGTAGTAGCACGGAGTTTGGAACTGTGCCCGGTATATATGGCAATAGGCTCACCCCCTATTACATGGGACTCATAACATAAATAGTGAAAAGTGGGTGTTACATTGTACAGTGGCATAATGTGCACCTCTGCCTACCCCTTCGGGGATAAAAGGCGCGATGTTATGTTGTGTACTAATTTATTGGGTGAGGCAAAAGGGAGTGTCAGACTCTTACTAACTCAAAACCACCCCGTTACCATCCTGCTTTGAGCCGGTGCCCCCGGTAAGCTGTTATGCGCTCGGTCGTGCGCAGGTCCAGATTAAATATCTGTGGTGGTCTGAAGGCACTTCGAGGCGGGCGCGGAACGCCTGGGCGTTTTTTAAGCTTCCGTCGCGTGTGCAGCCTTAATGGTGAAAGCTACATAGAAATTATGTATGACGGAAATGTTCTACATATAATTATCTAAAAATATCTCACAACAGCATATGTCTATCTTTTACGGTTGACTCACAAAAACACGTGTAACTCCCGATAGCTTAGCAGTTCGGAGTTTTCTGCTTATATTTGTTTACTTTTACGTTTATAATACTCTCACTCATCCATAACTTAAAAAGTTAACATTATTACCTATTCAATAAAAAAAGAATTTTAGAAATCGGTGTACCTAGGTGGACTTTACGCCGTAACTGTAGGGTCGATGGTTGAAATTAGTTTGAAGTTTATGTATTTGTGTGAATGTTTGTTAATCAGTCATATTAAAACGACTGAAAAGACCGGAATGAAATTTGGAACAGACTAATACTTATTATGGGTATTTTACCCCTAGGATCGCGGGAGAAGCCGCTGGCAGAACAAATACATTATTTCGACTGTTCAGTACAATAAAATATTAAATAATAATCATACTTTCACTAATTGATTTTATGACCAACTTAATTTTAATAAATTTCCAGTCAATTTGTAAGAAATAAGTACTTACGCTGTTTGACGCTAAAAAAACTTGACGTCACAATTCACGATCTCATACAAAATTCATAGAAAACTGTCGTTTTTGACAGTTCGAAAAATTATAATATTGAATTTGACTAGTTGGCACGTACACAATTAGGTATGTAATTAGAATATCTACATTAATCTCACCGAATGAGGCACATGACGACACAAACAAACATTCGCATACACCTCGTTCACGTTATCATTTTTAATCTGTAAATTACCTACAGGTATCAAAATTTCATTTCAAAGAAATTTTTAAAGTTCTTGCACTGCCTCTGGAAAATTCTGTTCAAAATAATTATTTTAGAATATATTTTAAATAAACAAATATTGTATATATTAAATACTAGCAGCCCGTCCCGGCTTCGCACGGGGTAGACAATTATTTATTTTTGAATATTTGGATTGTTGTAGTGACATAACAATACAATAGTTGGACATATGCTACCGCGGAGTTTTTTGTAGACATTATGATGTTCTTCAATATTGTTGTACATTATTTTGTTCTAACGCTAATAGTTGCGGCAGCGCATTCGACGAAACACATTTTAAGACCCATTTTTCTACACCTTCGGTTACATTGTTTAAATTTTACCAACCCCAAATTTTTTTCAAAATGAAATAAAATCCTATGTCAAATTGGAAGAATGTAGCATTCTATTGGTGAAAGATTTTTTTAAATCGGCCCAGTACTTTTTGAGCCTATTCATTACAAACATACAAAAATAGGTACAAATCTTTCCTCTTTATAATATTAGTACCTATAGATGTATTTTATTTTTCATTGAGGCAAGTACCCAATTTGAATAGGGGTAGAATGTAGACTGTAGTCTAGAACAACACACAGGCTACTTTTTATCAAACGGGAATTCGAAAGCCGCTGGCAAAAGCTGGTTCTACATAACAATCTATCCTTGTGCCAAAATTTCATTAAAATCCGAGCAGCAGTTCAGGCGAAATTGAATAACAAACATACATACCTCAAATCGAACACAGAGATATAGAAGCGAAGACTAGATTATGAAGAATTACGTAATGATATTATTTTGATAAGTCACGGCTGGTCGAAGCCGGCCGGCAGCCGGCAGTTCTAGATACACGACTAATGTAAGCAGTCGTGTCGACTTCACACCGGTCCACTATTTGTTTACCTTGACAGAAATGTAAGTTTATCTTTTAAACTACATGCTATTTTATATTTTTTATCTTTATGTACAGTAACGCATGAGAATTTTGTATAACTAGGTGATTTTTGTGTGTTTAAAAAAATATATTTTGAATTGTAACTAAGCCGTATTGAGTACCTATGTCTATGAGATTTATGAACTAACTATATAGACATTAAAAGAGGTCCTATATATATTTATTTAGCGCTTTTTAGTATATATATTTTGAAAGATATAACCCAAATTGAGCAGGCCTAATAATGCATACGTACAGGTTCAATGAATGACCATGAATTTATATTAAGTACACGGCAATTTGGCAGCGTAACCGACAAATGTCGGCCTTTTCTCATTCTGGTCCTTTCGGAACTACTTTCTAAAGGACCAAGGTTTATATATTTATACCTACTTATTTATGATGTAATTAAATATTATTTATTTACAAGGCTTTCCTTTTCCTCCAACTGCATATTCTTTAGAGTTTTTTTAAACAATTGCACCGTCTTTTGTCTTTAAAAACATGTGAATAGGGCCCAGTTTCTTTGTAACGATGTGTAAAATATGCGTTATTGGATAATGTGTCGTAAATAGCTTATCATAAAGTACACGTCAGCTACATATGAAGTCAGTGTTTGGTTACTGCACAATCAATATTGCAAGGTCAAACACCGCTGGTCACGGCCAAGGTAAGATGTGAAAATTCCACTTAGCAACAGTAGCACAACAATACAAATTATCTACCTTCTTACAATGGTGTAAGATACATTATTGCGTATTACAAACACCTATATTGTTATTTATTTTTTGCTCTCAAGTCTGGCTACAGTTTTTGTTGAGCTACCAAACTTGGTTGGTTCAATATTTTATGACTTCAAAGTATACCTACGTCCGTCGTTTAAAAACCGACAATTTAATCAATTACAGGTGGAGTGGATGACCTTGGTCCTTAGTAATATTTCTAAAGGGCCTCTTCTACAAAAGAAGGATTGCCATAATCCCCATGCTTGACGACCAGGTTGGAGATTGTAGTTTAAAAATGGATGAGGGGGCTTGCCCAAAATACCTATGTGTATTTTATCATCACGCCTTTTATCCCCGAAGGGGTAGGCAGAGATGAACATTACGGCACTTACCGCCACTGTACAATGTTACACCTACTTTTCACTATTTATATTATGAGTCCCATGTAATAGGGGGTGAGCCTATTGACATATACCGGGCACAATACCAAACTCAGTGCTACTATTGATATTTTTTTAAAACCGTGTAATTCTTTGCCCGATCTGGGAATCGAACCCGAGATCCCTTGCCCGGGAATTGCACTAGCGACCTCTCGCCCAACATTGTACTGCGCTATTTTCTCCAAATTAATTACATATTTTTCATTACAGATGGCGCGCCTGTTGTTTATTGCGCCTATCCTGGCGTTGGCCATTATGCCAATATACTTCTTATTCCTAAAAGGACCTCCTCCTCTACCCGACATCGATATGAACGAATGGTGGGGCCCAGAGAAGCTGAAAGAAAAACCTGACACCAGCATAAAACCCTTCAAAATTGCTTTTGGAGACACTGTAAGTGAATTCCCCAATCCCTGAATCCCCAACAATCCTCAAATAATTCCTAATCCCAAAAGGCCGGTAACGCACTTGTAACGCCTCTGGTGTTCCAGGTGTCCATGGGCGAAGCCGATTGATTACCATCAGGTGATCCGTCGGCCCGGTTACCGGCTTATCCCATAAAAAAAATCCGAAATTGTTATCATGAGCTGTAATAGGTACTTCAACTGTTGAACTAACCTTCACTTTTACACGACTTCGTCTGTGTGGAATTTAATCTGTCAAACACCGAGCGGTCACCGGTGACCGCGACCTATTGTTCTTTAATTGTGTCTATAAAACCGGTACTCGACGAGTTAAAAACAAAGTATAGGTATATGCATATCGTATGTTACTATTTATAAGTTAAGCTTTCCAATGATCCAGAAGTTTATAATCCTATCAAAGGAATCCTGGAATCCTTACTTGATGAGGGCCGGCATTTCCTAACTGACTACTTACCTACTCTGAGAAGAAATACCGAAACAAACTCAGAGGTCATTGTTTTTTTTTAAAGTTCAGACAGATTATTACTATAATGTGCGAAAGACATAATATGATTATAACGCGCAAGGATAAAAGAATCGAATCCTACCTCTTCATAATATTAGACTGGAGATATCTAATAATGATGACATGACTAAAGAAATATTCTTTTTTTATTATATTTATGACCCGCAAACTTTGTACCGTCTAAAACTTTTTTAACCGACTGTTTTTTCACCTTTTAAACCTTCCCTGAACTTCTACGAACATTTCAAGATCAAAATTAGCGAAATCATTTCAGCCGTTCTCGAGTTTTAGCGAGACTAACGAACAGAATTTCATTTTTATTTATACAGATGAGCATGATATAACGTATCACTCACGCGACACCTCATACAGAGGTCAATTCCTTGAGTACTTACCTCCAATCAATGTCAAAATGATTATTGTACCTAATACGAGTAGCGGCTAGTGCACTCCTAATAAGTTTTATATGTTAATACTAAATAGTCTTTTGAATACAAAATCTCCAATAAAATCAGATTTTAAATTCCTGATAAAGAATGTAAGACTGACAGCTTCAGCACCAGATTATCCTGTTTATAATAATGTAGTTGCCATTAAATTATAGGGTCCGCACCGCATTTGAGAAACCTCTAGTGTTATAAATGTACTTAGGTTAGGTCATGTAATTGAATGACAAAGGCACGGACAAGAGTCCGTCGAGAATAAGAAAAGTATAAAAAAAGGGATTTAGGTTACAGTACCCACTAATTATCTGGCGACCCGAAAGCACTGTTGCTTCCAAATAAGACTTAATAGAAACATCTTAGTAATTATTATTTTCTTACATTACATAAACTGACACTATCATCCAATTTCAGGTCGTGAAAGACTTAAAAGACCGTCTCAAAAGATCTCGGTCTTTCACTGCTCCGCTTGAAGGCGTAGCATTCCAGTACGGTTTCAACACAGCTCAACTGGACGGTTGGTTGAAGTACTGGGCCAATGATTACCAGTTCAAGGAGAGGGAGACCTTCCTCAATCAGTACCCACAGTTCAAAACTAATATTCAGGGTCTTGATATTCACTTCATCAGGGTTACGCCGAAGGTAAGATTTGGTCCTTATGTTACTTGTTTTGGTCCTTGTGGAAAAGAAACTTAAACATTTCTGCCAGAATGAAAAATATTTGCAAATAGGATAAGATATTTCCAATGTCCCTTAAAACGTTTGGTTCAGAATTTAATTACATACATATTTTTACAATAAACAATATTTTATCGGTCACGTCTTAACACGACGTTTTAATGTCCATCGATAATGTCCATTAAAAATGCAGTTATGTGACTGTTACGAACGAGGTGAAAATAAATGAATACAACTGCATTTTTTTTGTCTCTCATCGACAGCCTATAAATGCCCACTGCTGAGCATAGCCTCTTCTCGCATGGAGAAGCTTTAAGCATTGATCACCATGCTTGCTCAATGCGGGTTGGCAATTTCAAATTACTAATTAGAAATTATACTTATGCCCACGACGTTTTCCTTCACCGTTTGTCAGTGGTGTCTGAATAATCTTAGAAAGTACATACATATAACTCGGAAAAAGTCACATTGGTACTTGCCGTTGGTAGGTTTCGAAACCGCAACCTCATGCATGAGAAGTGGGCGTCTTAAACCTCCGGGCCACCACGACACCTGGTTACGAAAAAGGTGGAAAGAAATACAACTACAATTTTGTGTCTATTTGTATGTATTTTTGTTTGAAGTACATTTTAATCCCGTTTTATGATACTCTTCTTTGTCCCCAGAAAAACGGCTAACTATTTCAGGCCTTTAATCAAACCAAGGTAACCCCTTGTGACCTAACTGATCAATTACTCAAATCAACTCTATGTTCTTCTTCGCAGGTGCCCGCAGGAGTGGAAGTAGTACCGCTACTGCTCCTCCACGGATGGCCAGGCTCTGTCAGGGAGTTCTACGAATCCATTCCTCTCATCACTGCAGTCAGCAAGGACCGTGATTTTGCTGTCGAAGTCATTGTTCCAAGTCTACCGGGCTATGGATTCTCTGATGTAAGTTCTTTTGCCGCATCATAACCATTTAACAGATAGGTACTTAAAAATATGTCAATATTAGCTTTTACCAGCGACCTCACCCGCGGCCTCCTAGCATAAAAAGTAGTTCTATATACCTTCCAAATTTTATCCCGATCCTCAAAGTCAAAGTTAAAGTCAAAGCATTTATTTCAATTAAATCATAATTTGGTTCTTTTGAAACGTCAACAGGTACAAAATAAATAATAGTCTGTCAGTCATTCCGTCAATGAAGCTAGGTGCTCGTTCCAAAATGTAGATTCGAATGGAGACGAACGAGAAAGAAACTCCATAGGTTACTCTTTTTTAAAGAAGTATATTCTAAAATGTCTCTAATACATATTCCTTTCAGCCGTTTTGACTCAGTCATACATTGTATAAAAACACACAAACCAACAAATTTATAATAATTACCTATATGACTGCACGGTTGGTGCCGTGTCGCGAGTTCGATTCCCACACGGAACAACTCTTTGTCAACCGACTTCATGTGACCAACAAATTGTTGTTTCTGGTCTGGGTGTCATTGTGTATGTGAACTTGTATGTTTGTAAACGCACACAAGACACAGGAGAAAATCCTAGTGTGGCGCTACGTTTTATTTTAAATAAGGAAAGAAAGAAAAAGAAGAAATTAGTAAGTCTATGCCTCCTTAGTACTTATTAGCTAGAAAACTAAAAATATATCAAACTGCTTGGTTTGAGGTATTCCTCGTAGCGCTCCCGTTTTGAAGCGCTCCCATGATTATCTTTCGGATAGAGATGGGACTATATTAATTTAAATTATCGATAATAACTACGTAATAAGTAGAACACATTGTTATATTGTACGTAATTTGTAAAATATTAATAAGGTCTATGAGGAAAAACTCAAATCATAATGACTTAACAAAAATAGTAATCTCAAAAACGATGTGATGTACTTAAAGATTATGTACCTACCTATCTATATGTATGTCTAAATATACATATTAAATATATTGCCTTGTCATGATTTGTGGACAAAATAACGAAAAACATATTCCGAGGTTAGATAAAAAATTATGTTGTTTATTATTATTATTATTGCGTAACATTCATTCATTACATGTTTGAACTTGTTATTGGTTTGTTTGTACCTACTTACCTGAATACTAATGATGACACAACAAAATATAAAATGCAACTTTTAATCTCCGAATAGAAGAACTAAGAAATAGTGTAGTTGCCAGGGAATGAAAATTAAAAATGTAATTAGTCCGTCGGTTAGATAATGGAAAAATATTAGACACGTATTTTTTTTATTTTCTCGTATAAAGTTACAATACTTAGATAAAATGGAGTTAAGTTTAGGAGTAGGACGTCGTTACGTCACTAAGTGGCAAGTGCTACAAAATAGTGACGTCACACGATATTTCCGATTATTATATCGTCGAAAGTATTTAATTTTGTGAGAAAAGAAAAAAATACGTGTCTAATGTTTTAAATTAATCTACCAGACGGACATTATAATACAATTTGGGTAACCTATTTTCGGCAGTGTTTTCTTGTGTCCATGAGGTCCATTTTTGGGATGGGATAAGCCGGTAAACTAGCAGACGGATCACCTGATAGTAAGCAATCGGCGTCGCCCATAGACACACACCAGAGGCGTTACAATACAAGAAATACGGATTGTGCCTACTGCCTATTGGCATACACATCGTCCGTTAAATAGAAAAATTACGTTATTTAGAAAGGACAATCTAACAGTACCTACAAGCATTTAAATTTTTTTTTTTCTTTAAAATTCGTTTCGTACGTTTTCGGACAAACAGACAAAAATATAAAAAAAACATATTTTGGTTTCGGTACCGACTGTATATCACACCTAAACTATTCTTTTAAAAAAAATATTCGATGTACAGTTTTTACTTTTCTACAATTTTATAATATGTATAGATTCTTCTATAAGAGATAGAATTTTGACATAAATATAAGCATTGGAACTTAGACAAAAGGACCAAATAATATTTGCCAAAATCCTAATTGAAAAACATAATAGACGCATTACTCGCCCCTACAATTTTCGAAAGTTCCCCTCGATTTCCCTAGGATCCCATCATCAGATCCCGACCTCATGGAAATGGGGTCATCTCGGGAGTACACACTTTCAAACAAAACAAGAATTTTTGAAATCGATTCACAAATGGCGGAATACTGCGCGAACAAATAAAAAAAAACAATCAGTCGAACATAGTACCTTCTCCTTTTTTTGAAGTCGGTAATAAGGGCCTTCATAACAACAAAACTGCAACTTTGTGTCCAGTGTCAATTTTAATGTTATCTGTCCCCTTTTGCATCTGCCTGATAAAAGGCTTTTGACCCGTAGTAGGACAATATTTATAGTACTTTCTGTTTATTATTTAAATGAACTACACCACGATAAGGGAATATACATAATTTATTCATATTCGTATATGAATTAATTCTTAATTCTAAGATTGATGACTGTTGATGAAGCGAAAGAGGTATGTAGGAATCGTAACAATGGGCGTACCAAAGCATCTGAGACCCCCATGGGAGACAGGCGTGAAGTTGTGTATGCGGACAAAAATAAATAGTTTGTACAATTTCAATCGCTTTTGTTTTCGTGTCATTCATGCAACCTCAGCCTTGAACAATTGAATACAACTATTATTACACAAATTGGGCCTCCGGTAACCTCACTCACTCGATGAGACACAACGCAAGCATTGCTTCACGTCGGTTTTCTGCTCGGCCGTGGTATCACTCCGGTCGAGCCGGCCCATTCGTGCCGAAGCATGGCTCTTCCACACTTATAATATTGTATATATTTATCAATAATTTGAATTTTGTCCAGGCTGCAGTTCGACCCGGCCTGGGAGCTCCACAAATAGGAGTTGTGATGAAGAACCTGATGAATAGACTTGGATACAAGAAGTTCTACCTCCAGGGTGGAGACTGGGGCAGTCTTATTGGAAGCAACATGGTCACTCTCTTCCCTGATGTAAGATTTTTCTTTCTTTTTGTTTATCCCGTTATCTGAAACGTTAAATAAGCCTTTGACTGTGTAAAACCCTTCTAGGGTCGGCCATTATATCTTTACTTGCTCTGCTTACTATTTAATTAATTTATTTTATTTAACCCCTCGACCGTCCTTATGAGCACCCGGTGGATCATAAGAAAAAATTCTCCATGCTGCTTTCTCTTTTATAAAATCTATTATTAATGTTTTGTTTTTATTTTGACTGTATTTGTTTTATTTCTATTGTAATGATCCTTGTTTTCGTGTGCCAATGGCCAAATAAATGTATTTCTTGCATGCATAAGGATAAGGAAATGCATAAGGAACACGGACGCTCGACGGGTTAAACGGTGTCGTCACTATATGATTCACTAGGTATAAGCAGTTTCACATTATTTTTATGTACAAACACCAGAAGCATTGTAAAAAACTTTTTTGGAATATAGCCAATATAATGATTTCATAACATAACATAACATCACGCCTTTTTATCCCCGAAGGGGTAGGCAGAGGTGCACATTTCGGCACTTAATGCCACTGTACAATGTAACACCCACTTTTCACTATTTATGTTATGAGTCCCATGTAATAGGGGGTGAGCCTATTGCCATATACCGGGCACATTTTTCCAGACTCCGTGCTAAGTACTACTGAGATTTTTAATGATATCGAAAATATCCAATATAATGATTTCGAAAATCAAAAAAACACAGATAGCACTTTACCAAAACTGATTGTCAAAACATGATTGCTTTGTTTTCAGGACATCTTAGGTTTCCACACGAACCTAGCAACGACGATGAATCCTGTCGCCACCCTCATAGAACTGATCGGTTCTCTGTACCCTCCGCTGGTTGTGGAGGAACATCTGGCAGACAGAATGTACCCCATGAAGAAGAGGTTCTCTCATTTACTGGAGGAAACTGGGTACATGCATATTCAAGCTAGCAAACCTGATACTGTTGGTGAGTTTATAAAAATATAACATTATTAAAACCAAGCTTATTGTGTTTGAATGATCTCCATTCGTTGTCGTTTTTTTATGGCATAAGCCGGCGAACGAGCAGACGGATCACCTGATGGTAAGCAATCGGCGTCGCCCATGGACACCTGGAACACCAGAGGTGTTACAAGTGCGTAACCGGCCTTTTGGGGATTAGGAGTTTGAGGATCATTGGGGATTCAGGGATTCAGGGATTCAAGGATTGGGGAGATTGGGGAAAGGGAGGGTAATTGGGCCTCCGGTAACCTCACTCACACGACGAAACACAACGCAATTGCTTTGGGCTTGTTTTTATACCTAAATTGTCTTTATGAATCATTCTTACTATACATTTTTTTAAAAGAGTAAAGATGGAGTTTCTCACTCGCTCTTCTCCATTCGAAACTACACTTTGGAACGAGCGCCTAGCTTCACTGACAAACAGACGGACGGACCATTCAATTGTTGACGTTTCAAAAGTGCTTAATTGAAATAAATGCTTTGACTTTGATTATTTATTAGCGTTATTAATTATTTATTAGTATATTATATACTTGATTATTTATTAGTATATTCATTAGCGTTATATATAGCGTTATATATAGCGTTATATATAACTCCTAATCCCCAAAAAGCCGGTAATGCACTTGTAACGCCTCTGGTGTTCCAGGTGTCCATGGGCGACGCCGATTGCTTCCCATCAGGTGATCAATCTGCTCGTTTACCGGCTTATGCCATAAAAAAAATCGCTACTCAATATTATGATCCATATATAACCTCCAATATTTATGTTTCCAGGTGTCGGTCTATCAGACTCACCAGCCGGTCTTCTGGCATATATCTTGGAGAAGTTCTCCACCTGGACTCGACCGGAGCATCGTGCAAAACCTGACGGAGGCCTTACCTTCCGTTTCTCAAAGGACCAGCTGCTTGACAACCTGATGTTCTATTGGGCTCCTGGCTCCATCACCACCTCCATGAGGCTATACTCTGAGAACTTCAACTCCAAAGTTATGGGAATGAAGCTTGATGAGTAAGTAAAGAAAAAAATACATAACATAACATAATATCACGCCTTTTATCCCCTAAGAGGTAGGCAGAGATGCACATTGCGACACTTAATGTCACTGTAGGTACAATGTATCACCCACTTTTCACCGAGCCTATTGCCATATACAGAGAATTTTTTAAAAACCCAGTTATACTTTACCCGACCCGGAAATCGAACCTGAGACCCCTTGCCCGGCAGTCGCACTTGCGACAACTCGTCCAATGAGGCAGTTATTCAAAAAAAAATGAAGACTAAATTACCATTCTCCTCCACAGGATCCCAACCAAGGCTCCAGTTTGGGTGGCTCAAGCCAAATATGAACTGGCGTACCAACCACCATTCCTTATAAAGCTGAAGTTCAACAACCTGGTCGGAGTGACAGTCCTCGATGATGGAGGGCATTTCCTAGCCTTCGAGCTGCCCAAGATCTTCGCAGAGGATGTCTTGAAGGCGCTCGGAGAGTTCAGGAAGGTAGCCAAGAAGAATGTCAAGACTGATTTATAATTTTAGTTTGGAAATGAAAATTTTTGTACAGAGTATTTTGTTTTTTTATTATAAAGAGAATATTTGAAATGTCTATCTTTTTTTTGTTCTCTGCTTTGAGAACCCCACGCTCTTTCCTCCCCAAACGCATCTGTAAGTCTTTGGTGTTTCGGGTGTCCATACGGCGCCGATTACTTACCACCAGATGATCTGTCTGCTCGTTTGCTGGCTTGTCTTATAAAAACGGCAAGGCGTTACAAGTATGTTACCGGCCTTTTGAGAATTGGGAATTTGAGGATTGTGGAGGATTTGGGGATTGAGGAGACTGGGAAGGAGGGTAATTGGGTATTAATCCTAATAAAAATTGTTCCTTATTGGTTGAGATGGGATATGGTACTGGTATGGTAATCGCAGTGTCAATTTTAAAAGAAAATATTATTGGAGTTTTGATTTTCGACGAATTTGTATCAATAAATAATAATAGTGTATTAACCTCTATTTGGAACTGATCAAGGAAAGATGATAGCCGTGTCTAGCCGAACATACTCAGCAACAGTATTAAAACAATACTACTCACCCCAGAAGTTTTTTACAAAGACCACCAACAAAAATCATCGAACTTCAACATTAAATATTCGTTCATAGACTGCGTTTAAAGAACGGACTTCAAACCCCCATCTTTTTTTGATTAACTACGTCGGATTAATTATACACTAAAACCTTCTAACGGCCGATTTTTCAATTATCAGTTAATTCTTTACTGTATCTAGAATAAAATTAACATTTGACAGACATTTTCAGTATGGAAGATTTGTAAAATATTCAATCAAAGTTATTTCTCAGTTTAAATTTATATGGCGTTGGAAATATCGGCCCTTGTAACAAACACAACTGAAAACCGCATCAAACTCGGTGTAGTCAATCGCGAGATAATCACGCTATCGAGCGATAAGACCGCCCATTGTACACTTTTTTTTCTTTATGTTTTTATGGTGGACTTACTATAAAGTGTAAAATAAATAAATAAATAAATGATCGCGCAGAAACATGCATACATACATACAGATCAAACTCAAAACCTTCTTTTATAAAAGTCACTTAAAAATCATAGACTTTCACCACCTATCCCTTCATACAGTCGCGGAGAACCTAACGGGTTACCGGGGCTCCAGCTCGACGTGCAGCAGAAGGAACGGGGTGGTTTTTAGTTAGTAAGAGTCTGACACTCCCTCCCTTAAAATCCCTTCATACAAATCTCATAAAATCTCAGTTAAGCTCTTGACTAGGTTAATAAAATCAATCAAATTTTATCTGGTGCGCGGCGGCCGGCGGGTGCACTGAGCGTCGGCCGGTCGCGTGTCGGACGCGCGCACATACGCAAGGAGGATTAAAAGCATCATACCTACGATAGCAAAGCTGCTTATTTGTCATAATTTGCTATTTAATTCAAGCAGGCGTTCGCTTTATTGATATTTTGTGGCCTGTGTATAGGGTGATAAAGGTAGTGTTTATTTTATTATTGGAATAAAAGTTGGGTGCTTTTTTTGATAGATATTTTTATGGTTTATTCATTGTAGGGTTGACTGCACGGTTGATGCGGTGGCTTGGTAACTGGCTGCCACGCAATGTGTCGCGGGTTCGATTCGCGCACGGAGCAACTATTTGTGTGTATGTAGTGTCATGTGTATGTCAACTTATATGTTTGTAAACGCACCCACGATACAGGTGAAAATACTAGTGTGGGGCAGTTTTTATAAAAAAAAAATTGTGTTGAGACTGCATCGCTAGTTGATACAAACCTAGTAGGGATCTCACCACAGATGGGGCCCAACAGGGCTGATGCCCATACGGAGCCGCGGAAGACTTAACGGGTAACCGGGGCTCCGGCTTGACGTGCAGGAGTAGGAACGGGGTGGTGTTTAGTCAGTAAGAGTCTGACACACCCTCTTGCCCTGACCCGGGCGGGAGAAGTCATTGGATGATTTTACCCTCTAAAAAAAAGTAGGGATCTCGGGTTCGATTTACTGACCGGACAAAGAACGAATTAGGTACTGGGTTTTTCGAACATTTTCAGTAGCATAATCTAAACTTGTGTCTGGTGTATTTTTCCTATATCCTATACAATAAACAAGGATATGAAATTCTATATAGGTACAACAAACTTCTGCTAGTTGGAGAACAACCAATGTTCCATCAAGAATGTCATGGAATTAAAACAACTTCGACTGCACGGTTGGTGCGGTGGCTGGGCAACCGGCTGCCGTGCAACGTGTCGCGAACAACCCTTTGTGTGATCCACAGATTGTTGTTCCGGGTCTGGGTGTCATGTGTATGTGAACTTGTATGTTTGTAAACGCACCCACGAAATAGAAGATGTGGGGCAACGGTTAAAAAAAAAAGAAAAACATCTCTAATAGAACCCAATCGTGTATGAAGATTGTGACACAAAAAGTAGCTCAAGTTTCCCCTGCCTCATTCTCGTTCACTCGTCTCCATTTAAACATAAACACTCACTTGTTACGTGAATAGAGCAAATCGAAACATGTTCCCTCCAACCTCTGGTAGACTGAGATAAGGGTACTAAATACAGCGTGTTATAAAATTGAACTGATGCATGATTAAACCTCTGATGCGTGTGACGTTATTTTTGGCGTTTAAAATTTTACAACATAACATCATAACATCGCGCCTTTTATATCCGAAGGGGTAGGCAGAGGTGTACATTACGGCACTTAATGTCACTGTACAATGTAACACCCACATTTCACTTTTTATGTTATGAGTCCCATGTAATAGGGGGTGAGCCTATCGCCATATACCGGGCACAATTCCAGACTCCGTGCTAATAAGGAGATTTTTTTAAAAAGCCCGCAAAGTAATACTTTGCCCTAAGCGAAACGAGCTTTTTCTGGGAAGCGAACCCGAGATCCCTTGCTTTAACTCGGCCAACGAGGCAATTTAAAATTTTCTTATAATAAAATTTTTGGGAAATGGAAATAGAAACGATGGCTCTCTGTTTGATGTTCAAATACCATTTGACCGTGGGATGAAAGCAGAATAAAATACAAATACATTTATTACCACCTACTAATCCTGCGAGTGTTATAACTGCAAGAGTCGACAAAATATCTGACTACATATTTGATAGAAGCCGCGTAGCAACACTCTCTAATAAACCTAAGCTTTTTAAAATATTGCTCACGACTTTTATAACATCCTGTATATTTAAACCCTAGGGGTGGAAATGGTAGCATCATGAAAATAGAATGGGTGGAGCGACAAACCCCGCCTAATAGAAAGAATGAGACGGAAATACGCTTAAGCGTATGAGGGAAAGAGAAAAGAAACACGGTTGGTAAAATGTTGTAGTTTTACTTATATTTTAAGAAAATGTTTTAACATGGTTTCAAGTACCTACTTTGTTTTTTTTAAAAAACTAGTTACTATAAACCTGGTACATACATACACACAAAATGTTTTTAGTTAAATCTTAATATTTTTGAAGATATTGATTTAAAAGTCTTAGATACTCAACAATGTTATATATGTTACGGTAAATCTGATTAATTGAAAATTATTAATATTTTTACAAAATTATTAATAATAACCACAGGTTTCGGTAAATGTGAATAAAAGATCGAAATTTATTACTTTTACTAGTAATTATTAATAATTCACGACACATATTGGTAAAAGTTATAAAACAAATAAAAACCCAATGTTTTTTGACCAGCAGGTATTTATTTATAATATTAAACACAGTCTTACAATTATATTAATTAGAGATCACACAAACAAGGTTAATTGTACTTGCAAACTAAGCAAACAACAAAGCAAGAAAGTCTTTCGTGACATAAAATTGTAACAAAAATAAAATTAAACAATTATTGTTTCGTTAACAAAATCAACCCGAATCCTAAAAGCAATCATTAAAAATCATATTTGGTTTGCCTGTTAATCTTCTGTAGCACCTATAAATGCAACAATTTAATTTTTAAAAGTATTATCATAGAATTCAACAAATATTTGTTGTGCATCCCGCACCTCTCGCATGTCGCACAATCCGCCCCGCCCCGCAACCCTTAGTCACTTATTACATTTATCACTACTAGGGTTAAATTATTAATAAAAACTGACAAATGTGATTAATTTATCACTTTAACCTCGACTTTCGGTAATTATTAATAATAATAGATAATTATTAATAATCTTCAATTATTCACTCTTACCGTAACATATACACTGGAAAACACCAAAAAATAATAATAAGAAAACGTAAGTATTTATACACATGCCAAAATAAAGTTACTGCGATACTCAGACACATTTAATAATTACTTAAATTATTCCTTAGTAACGATTTTGTTCCGACAAACAAAGGAAAGGACAGGGTTTTTTTAAGGGTGGAAAATGATCGAATGACTGCTCCCGCCTGGGTGAGGCGGGAGGGAGTGTCAGACTCTTACTGACTAAAAACCACCACGTTCCTTCTCCTGCACGTAGAGCCGGAGCCCCGGTTACCCGTTAGGTTCTCCGCGACAAAAAGAATTCGTAGTCGGGATATGACTCTGAGTACGGCGGTTAGGTACTCAAAATGTTATAGACACCGGAAAAATTAAAAAATAAGAAAACGTATTTTTACTTATCTATTTATACACATGTCACATAAAGGTCATTAAAATCTACAATTAATTATAACATTAGTACCTACTTAATTACAAAAAAATGTAAGTACTAACTTAGTACTTAGGTACCTTATTAAAATTAAACATCAAAAAGTAAAAAATGCTAAAATTAACGTCATATGGCACGTTGACGGTGGGATTAATATAATATAGATACATAGGTACATTGAAACATCTACTTATATACATACAATTAACTTATATTTAAGAAGCGAAAGAGGTATGTGAGAATCTTAGTAATTGAGATAATTTTAAGTGTGGGAGAGCCATGCTTCGGCATGAATGGGCCGGCTCGACCGGAGTGATACGGCCTCACAGTAAACTGACGTGAAGCAACGCTTGCGTTGTGTTTCGTCATGTGAGTGAGGTTACCGGAGGCCCAATTACCCTCCCTTTCCCCAATCTCCCCAATTCCTGAATCCCCAACGATCCTCAAACTCCTAATCCCCAAAAGGCCGGTAACGCACTTGTAACGCCTGTGATGTTCCAGGTGTCCATGAGCGACGCCGATTGCTTATCATCAGGTGATCCGTCTGCTCGTTTACCGGCTTATGCCATAAAAAATGGCGTTTCATAGTCTCTGCCTACCCCCATGGGAGACAGGCGTGAAGTTATGTATGTATGTAACTTTCATTTACTTAGAAAACAGCTAACCAATATTTGCCCGCCGTTAAAATTGTAATTGCAATAACGAAAGAATTTTTCAATTCGGTCTAGAAGATTCTGACTTATTTTAAAACACACACTGACAAATAACAGACGATCAAATCTGTCTTTTGTAAATAGTAGGTAATTAGGTACATAAACTAATTCTAAAAGATAATAGTTTAAATACATATTTTCTCTTTGGGTCTCAGATTAACAGGTTTTGAATGGAAGAACTATCCTCATTATAAAGAACAAAACGGACGGATGCAACAAAAGCCCGGAGGTTTAACACATCTGCATTTCAAGAGGGCACGGGTTCGAAACCTAAGGAGTGGAATTCTTTGCCAGAGTTGTATTTCCTGATGGTTATAACCTGGGTGTCTTCAAGGCCCGAGTGAATAGGTTGCTTATGGGACGACGTGTCCATCGTAGGCAACATCATTGCTTACCACCAGGCGAGATAGTGGTCAAACGTCGGCCGATCAAATGTGTATAAAAAAATCCTACCAACAGGAAGTACCAATGTGATGTATGCACGTTCTATGATTATTTAGACACGACTGACAGAAGGTGAAGGAAATTGTGAGGAAGCCTGGACTTATCATTTCTTATTATAAGTTTTAAAAATGGCCAACCTGCTGGTGACGTTGATCTGTTCGGGTTTTGGATCTGGGCGCAACCAGGACGAAGAATTGAAATCAGAGTAATAAAAACATAACATAACATCACGCCTTTTTATCCCCGAAAGGGTAGGCAGAGGTGTATGTACATTATACCACTGTACAATGTAACACCCACTTTTCACTATTTATGTTATGAGTCCCATGTAATAGGGGGTGAGCCTATTGCCATATACCGGGCACAGTTCCAGACTCCGTGCTACTACTGAGATTTATTTAAAAACCTAGTAATACAAATGTAATAAAAATGTTCTATACAAACCAGAATTAAAATTGCTACTTACTTAGATATATACCTACTTATAACCTAATTTTTGTACATAACAAAACAATAATAAATTTTCGACAATATGACAGACTCTAATATGATCTCGTTTCGTCATTTTCTACATAAAAATAACTTCTTTAATTATTATGTTTTTGACTTACTCACGTAATTATTTGACGGGGAACTCGACTAGTTTCAAGCCATGCTAGAGGCTCATATTCGTGAGCAGTGTCCCGAGACCCGCAACGCGGCAACTGTCGCGCTGCTACTGGTCCGCCGCATCGCGGGTCGCCAAATAATTACGTGAGTAAACCGACAAACATAATAATTAAGTAACTTAGTTTGTCTCACGAAACTTCTATACATTTAATAAAATCGTAGAAAAGTCCAAACTGTAAACTGAATATTATTTCAAAAGAATACTTGGGGCGTGATCTACAATCGATACTGAAGCCAAAAATATGGTTATGAGTATTTTTGTCTGTTTGTCTGTATGATCCGATCTCAAAAAGTACTGCATGGATTTACTTCAAATTTTGTATGAACATTACTAACAAGTCAGATCAACATATAGGCTACATATTATCACGCTATCATCTACGGGGGAGGAGCTCAATACTAAGGTACTGAATTATTGCTGACGACATTACCGTTACCGTAGAAAATCCTTTGATAAAGATTTATTTAAAAGCTTAAATTCTGTTATTATTCTATGCGGACAAAGTCGCGGGCAACAGCTAGTCCTTACTTCCTTACTTATATTATAAATCGGAAAGTGAGTTTGTTTGTTTGTTTGTTCCACCTTCACGCCGTAACTACTAGACCGATTGCTTTGAAATTTTGCAGACGTAAAGTTAGAAGTCTGGATTAAATAATATCTTTTTATCCCGGAAAAAATTATATTTCCTATGAAAAACAAAAATATTGGTAAAGATGGCGCTGTATGTACTGGTATAGATGACGTTGTATGTCATTTAAAACAAGTCAACGAATTACCTACTTATTGGAAAAATGTAATAGCGCGATATTACCGAATTCCACGAGAGCGGAAAGCTATTTGTTTGTTTGCCTGTCTTAAACGGCCGAACGAAGGTACTAATTAACGTGATTTTTTAACTGAAGGTAGTAGAACGGACAGATAGTCACATAGGCTACTTTTTATCCTTTTGTGACGCGAGCGAAGCCGCTGGTAAAAGCTAGTATAACATAACATAAATACAAAAATAAATTTATTTGTTATCCTTATCACTTTTCTCTTTACTCCCATGGCCATTCTGCAACTTCCCATCATGGTCTTCTTTCCCATTTTGTGCTGGTGCTATCATCAATAAATTATTTCCATTACGATCCGCCAGGTTCCTGAACGGCATATTTTGTCGCCATCTTGGAGGGAAGTAGAACTGATTCCGTAAAACTCTCAAGTGTTCCTTCCCGAAGTAGAATTCTGTTCTATTGACGATGGGTCTCTGATACCCTCTCTTTACTTCTTCGTTTTCTTCATTACCATACCTCTGGTATTCATTGGTCTCGTGGAAGATTTTCGCTCTCGGGCAGTCGTCTTCGCTAAAGTATGGTCTTTTGAGCCGAAGCCTCCTGGATTGTGGACTCAGAGGGGATTCGCATTTAATCGCGAGACTCGCTGAGTTTTCTTTGTTCATTGATAGTCCGTGGGACTTTTGCCATTCAAGAACTTCGCAGAGAAGACCGATGTACCTGTCAAATGATTATAGCAATGGTTAATTACGACTGAGACTGAGACTGCCTCGTTGGCCTGGTGGTCGCAAGCGCGACTGCCGGGCAAGGGGTCTCGGGTTCGATTCCCGGTTCGGGCAAAGTATTACTGGGTTTTAAAAATATCTCAGTAGTAGCACGGAGCCTAAAATTGAGCCCGGTATATGGCAATAGGCCCCTATTACATGGGGCTCATAACAAAACAAGTGAAAAGTGGGTGTTACCAATGTAACACCCACTTTTCACTGTACAATTACAGTGGCATTAAATGCCGTAATGTCACCTCTGCCTACACTTTCGGGGATAATTAAAGGCATGATGATATTTATGCCAATTTTTTATTTTATGTGAAACACGAACTTTAACAGAAAAAAATTAAATATTTGTCTAATCTATTAGTTGTGTGTCATAATTAAGAGTACTCTTACCTAATAGCCATCCGCAGTATTTCATTCTTGGACAGCTTCTTGTCAGGCGGGTGCGTGGGCACCAACCTCCTTAGTTCTGCGAAGGCACCGCTCACATTCTGCTGCCTCCACCTCTCACGGCAGTTGGTGAACAGCTTCCGAGGGGGACGGAGAAGACAGGAGTTTATTGAGGGCATGTCTTCTGGTAGACTCTGCATTAAGATGACATTTGATAAGCTAGGGATTACTTTCAAAAATAAATGATGTACGAAGATAATCCCTAATCTTCTCAATCCCGGAATCCTAAACAATCCTCCAATTCTTAATCCCCAAAAGGCCGGTAACGCATTTGTAACGCCTCGGGTGATCATGGGCGACGTCGATTGCTTACCATCAGGTGATTAGCCCGCTCGGTTACCGGCTTATCCCATAAAAAAATTATCATTGATGAATCAGTGGATTTTGAGAATAATAGGGCGTTAAATCGAAAATTCCTTGAACACTTTTAAAAGATAGGGTTTGCAGTTAAATAGTACTAGAAGAGGTCTCTTCGAATCTCTTGCGCAGACAAAGCATTTTAAGTTGGTAATACCTCAGAAGTTAAGACACGTCATGTCTTTTCCCAATCAAGTTTGAAGTCCTCTTAAGGTACTTACTTGAATGTTCCTGGTGGACTGTCTCTCATCATCGCTGTCAGGTAGACACAGGTCGTCACTCAACATCTCACTGTCAGGCTCCTCATCAGAACATGACTCCTGGTCTGATGCCATCGTCGGTGGATACACTGTGCCAATAAAAAATAGGTTTTAGTTTTTTTTACGAGCGCCTTTTGTCCAGTTTATCGGTATCTATGTTAACTTCATCAGACCACCACGGATAGGGGCCAATAGGGCTGATGCCGATTCAGAGTCGTCGAGACCTAACGGGTTACCGGGGCTCCGGCTCGACGTGCAGGAGAAGGAACGGGGTGGTTATTAGTCAGTAAGAGTCTGACACTCCCTTCCGCCTCACCCAGGCGGGAGTAGTCATTCGATGATTTTCCCCCCTTAAAAATATCTATGTTAACTTGTTACGCAGTTTTTTTCAGATGCTGGTAGGTTGGTAGGTACTACCGGGACAACAGAAATTAGCGACTAAACATATCAGGATATTTATAGGGAGTCGGCCATGTTTAGTCGATAAGAATCTTATTATACTACTTTACTATTTACTACTATTATAAAAGCGGGAGAGTTTGTTTTTTTATTTGTTTGTTTGAACGCGCCAATCTCCATAACTACAAGTCTGATTTGAACAATTCTTTTTGTGTTGGATAGTGCATTTATCAAGGATGGCTATAGGCTATACAACATCACGCTACGACCATTAGGAGCTGAGCAGAGCGTGTGAAACCGCGCGGAAGTAGCTAGTATAGTCTATGTTTAATTCCAAACTTCATTCTAATTCTGTGTAACGGTGTCCGTCATGTTGTAAAGTACTTACATAATTTGGCTGATCTAGTGATTGTCGACTTTTGTCTACTTACATATTGAAATGAGGTTGAGGTCTTTGAAACCTAATTTACGCAGTTAAGGATAGTTTTTTTTTAACGGGAGCAAATCATCGACTGCTCCCGCCTGGGTGAGGTGGGAGGGAGTGTCAGACTCTTACTGACTAAAAACCACCCCGTTCCTTCTCCTGCACGTCGAGCCGAAGCCCCAGTTACCCGTTAGGTTCTCCGTGACAGTTAAGGATAGTAAGAAGTATGTATAATATGGCGGATCAAACCATCAGGTACCTATTTTATCTTTTAGAACTTGTACCTTTCTACCTTATTGTGTTCATGGGTATAACAGCTTAAAAAAATTGTCGAAGTATGTAAAACAAGATACAAAAAGAGGCCACGTTCCAGTCGAAGTAAATAAAGCAGCTGCTATATAAAGCACCGTTATTGTTGGCTATCAGAGGAAGCCATTATCACAGGAAGTCGCTATAATTAAAACAGAACAATTCACTGTTCAAATTAATGATTTGAAGTAAAAAAAATATATATTAATGATTTTTGAGAAACTGGTCGGAGAAGTTTTGTTTTTACTTGCACTCACTGAGATCTTAGTGAAAATTGTTTTCACTGACTGATTTTTATACCTATGTTGACCAGTGTTATTATGAATAGAAATTTTATTATTATTTTCTTGCAATTCTTCTTGCTCTCGGCTCTAAGGCCGGTTCTAATGTCCTTTACGGGCTTCCGCCAAGTAAAGGACATATAAAGTATATTATTCGGCAGTTGTTAGTGAGTTGTGACTATCAATCGGTTCTACGGTTTGGGTTGATGGTAGTGGTGGTGGTGGTGGTGAGATTTCATTTTCGTCTATCTTTATTATTATTATTGTATGTCTTTACCATTCACGAGACCACAGGGTCCCGGTCATTTGGGAGGCGTACGAGGGGCCGAAGCCAACTGCGCAGAGGCCCTTTAGACAACTTTAATATAAATGTAATGGATATTATTATTTTATTATTACTGACGTCATAAAGAGGATGAGGTTCTCTGTTCGTATGATTGTTTTTTTTTTGTCCCGGAACGATGAAGGATCATATCAATCATCATCATTCATCTGTTCAGGAATAAACGTAAAAGAAAGAAAAATTACACAGATTAATGATAGGGAGTCGGGAGGTCCCTTCTAATGGGCTGATCTGGAAATCTCTGGGCCGCCCCCAATTATTCCAACCTTACTGTTGGCAGGCTTGGAGATCGTAATTTCAAAGATTCAGGCTTATCAATTATATCATAGCGCTGCTGCGCAGTCCATACCTAATATCCTTTCGTTAGTCGCCTCTTAAGCTGAACGTCTTCCACTAGCCAAAATAATTTAGTCAAAGTCAAAGTATTTATTTCAATTAATCCTAAATTAGGCTCTTTGGAAAGGTCAAAATTGAATGGTCCGTCCGTCTGTTTGTCAGTGACGCTAAGCGTTCATTCCAAAGTGTAGTTTCGAATGGAGAAGAATAAGCAAGAAACTCCATCGTCTCTTTTAAAAAATGTTTTTTACAGTCTCATTTATACATTGATACATACATCTGATCCTTTACCTATCTATATATATAAAAATGAAACCCGTTTCCCGTTGTCACGCTATAACTTGAGAACGGCTAGACCGATTTGGCTGATTTTTTAGTTGTGTTTGTTATTGTCAGGAGAAGGTTCTTATGACAGAAAAAAAATCTGAAAATTCTACGGGACCGGGAGGAAATGGGATTTTGGTGTATATACGAAGTCGCGGGCAGAAGCTAGTTGTGTTGTTGTATGTGAGAGCGATGTAACGACAATACAACGTCAAAATTAATGGGACCACGGAATCAATTAAATTCCTGATAAAAACGCCATGAGCGATTTCGAACATAGTAGGCACTATGTTTTACAGTTTGACAGAATTTAACTGAGCGAGATTTTGGAGTACCAAGTCAGTGTCTGGTCTGGTCCTCTGGTCCAGAGTTCCATACCAGAGAGATTTGTATTGATTATTGAGAAATTGTAATATAATCGTTTAAATGGGATGCCATACTTAATTTATATAAGTACCTAATTTTCAGTACAGAATTTGTTACATAAAACAAAGTTAGTTTGACTGAACGAGGAAAACAATTGGGATATTGTAAAAAAAATCATTACTTTGTATAATTAACGCAATACTAATCAAATTCTGAATTATCTTCCTGTTGTTTAAACAAGACCTTCTTCGTAAATAGTTTATTTTTTTTGTAAAACATACAAAACTATAATGAATTAACTCCATACTGAATTAACTTACAAACTATACCATGTAGGTAGGTACTTAATTAAATACAAAAAAATAATATTTTAAAACACACAAACCGTTGTTTCCTGTTATATCTGACACGGTTGGCATAAAAACTAACTCACTTTCATACAAAAAATACACCACAAACACAATTTTTATCGACACAAAAGGACTTGTGAACCGTTCGGTGAATGGAAGTCAACTGACGAAAATCCATAACAATATTTAAATTTCGAAATGGGGTTGCTTAGGAATGTCGTGATTGGTTGATTGTGGGGAGAGATCGACCAATGAGGATGAGTAGGTGTGTCAAGGATTTTCTTTTATTATTGGTGCTTATACTACTTATACTGCGCAGTGGATTTAATACGCAATGTAATTAATTTGTTATCAAAGGCGTTGGTGCTGAATGCCTCGTTAGTTGAGTGCTTAGAAGCGCGACTGTTGAACAAGAGATCTCGGATTTTCTTCGGTCTGAAGTTATGTCTGTTTTATGGCAATAGGTATACCTCTTATTAAAGAGTTTTTGACTGTAGCTGCGGATAATACGTTAGCCGAATAATTAGTTAATGAGGTCACCACACACGTTGGCCCGGAGGTTTAAGACGGGCGCTTCTCATACATGAGGGTGCGGGTTCGGAACCTACCAACAGCAAGTACCAATGTTACTTTTTCCGAGTGTTATGTACTTTCTATTATCTAGACACCACTGACAAATGGTGAAGGTAAACATCATGACGAAACCTGAGCTTATAATTTCTAATTGTAAGTTTGTAATCGTCAACCCGCGCATTGAGTAAGAGTTGTGATTAATGCTCAAACCTTCTCCGTGTGAGAAGAGGCTTTGCTCAGCAGTGGACATCTATAGGCTGTTGATGATAATGATGATAGAGGTCACCACTAGACGCCTAAATATTACTTCTTCTATTACAATTTAACTTCTACTTTTCAGCATGCTTTTCCATGTAGTTATGATATGTACGAGTCTCATTCAATAAGGGGCGAGTCGTAAGTCTATTGCTATAGCCGCGGACTTAAGGAATTACCGGAGTTCTGTTTCGAAGAACGGGTCCGCTCAAACTGTTGTGGTTTTTTCCTCAAAAGGCCACTTCAGAAAGAACTTGCACGGTTCTCACACATAACCATTTATACATATTTGTCTGGACTTTAAAAGAGACAGACCTCTGAGTTTGTTTCGGCATTTCTTCTCAGAGTAGTCAGTTAGGAAATGTCGACCTCATCGTTCGCTTGATAAAATTGACGTGTAAAAGTGCTGGCTTGTAGCCTATTTGCAGAAATAAATTCACTTGTTTCACTTCAAGCAGTAGCGTGGTGTGGTGCTGGAACACCACACCACGTAGACCGCATCATCGCTTACCAGCAGGCGAAATAGTGGTCAAACGTCGGCCTATCTAATATAGATCAAATTAACGTCCTCTTCTTTCAAATATATATAACTAGCTTCTGCGCGCTTCGTATGCGTATTCCCATTTTTTCCCGCCCCCGTTCGTGATTTTCGGTAAAAAGTAAAAATGTTGGTCAAAAAGTATCCTATGTCGGTCTCCTGGCTCTAAGCTACCTCCCTACCAATTTTCAGCCAAATCTATTCTGCCGTTCTTGAGTTATAAGTGGTGTAACTAACACGACTTTCTTTTATATATGTAGATTAGACACTTGGTAATTAAACACATCTGATTTTAGCCCTAATTACTATATCAGGTGTAATCATAATCAACAAGTTGCTAAGCAGCAATTTTGATTTATTATTTTGCAGTGGAAATAAATTGTTTATCTTAGCAATCTAAATTATTGGGTATCAACTTATATGCGTAGATAGGAGGATCAGAAATTGTTGTAAAATAATTACTTTTATCTATGGGCACGGTGCCGGGTAAGCGTTTTAAATTATTTTATTATTATTGGTCTGGATTATTGAAATGTCTACCTGTTAGAAAAAGCCTAATATGTATATACTGGAACTGACTCTATTTTCTTACTTTTCTTGTTTAGTTTTCTTCAGATTTTCTCTGAGAAACAGGGACTTAGAACATTATTGATTTTGAGACCCAAATATATACCTAGCTCTTTTTTTTTTGATGGCGGAATAATCATCCAATGTCTTCTCTCGCCTTAGGTTTGGCGAGAGGGAGTGTCAGACTCTTACTGACTAAAAACCACCCCGTTCCTACTCCTGCACTTCGAGCCGGAGCCCCGGCAACCCGTTAGGCCTTCCGCGGGTATACCTAGCTCTTAGATACAATATTTCGGCTCTCTTTGCTGACTGCATTCGTTTCTTAAAACAAACCAAATCATATTTGACTGCACGGTTGGTGCTGGACAGCTGGCTGCCGCGTAACGTGTAGCGGGTTTGATTCCTGCATGAAGCAACTCTTTCTGTTATCCATAATTTGTTGTTCCGGGTCTGGGTGTCATGTGTATGTGAACTTATATGTTTGTAAACGAACCCACAACACAGACTTCACACGAGAGAAATTCATAGTTAAAAAAAAACATTTTAGTGATAGACCTTAGACCTTAAAACTAATTAGGATGTAGTCTTTTAAAAAATTGAAAAGTCTATTAAATCTAATATCTACGAGCAATTCATGTATACGTATATCAACAATATCGGAACCGGCTCCATTGATTTCCTTGAAACTTTGTATTTAGCGATAAATAGATCTAACTAGGTTTCATTTCCAGAAAATTCGCGAAAAATTTCTAAAAAAGAGCGACAGCGCACGCTGCTCATGAGGAAGAACCCCTTTGGGCTTCGAAACTAGTAGAGCTTTTCTCAATATATTTACGTGAGTAACCCGCGATTTTTAGTTAATTTAGTATGTCTTACGATAGTTATTATAAATCCAGAACATTTTGTTAATTAAAGCACCAAGCAAAGCTTTGTCATCTAGGTATTTACTAGTTTTAAAGTTACTTAAAGAAAGTATAGCAATACATTTGCCATCGTAATGAGTGTTATAAGACCTGTCTAAACGACTTCCACGCTTTTAACAAAGACCAGCAAGGCCTTTTGGAAAATCTAAACCTTTTACACTGCGCTCTCCATGCTCCCTGCGTAAACATTTATAGCAAACCCTCATTTGTAAAGAAGGTTCAATCAGTGTTAAAAATTACTGATTACTCACAGGAAGAGTACCTACTCTAGTTTACCACCTGGTAATAAATGTATTTGTATTTTATTCTGCTTTTATTCTACGGTCAAATGGTATTAGGACATTTAACAAAAAGTCATCGTTTCTATTTCCATTGCCCAAAAATTTCATTAAAAATTTTAAACAGCCGAGTTGGCCGAGTGGTCGCAAGTACGACTTCCAGGCAAAGGATCTCGGGTTTGATACCCGGATCAGGCAAAGTATTACTGTTTTTTTTAATTCTCAGTAGTGCACGGTATATGGCAATAGGCTCACCCCCTATTACATGGGACTCATAACATAAATAGTGAAAAGTGGGTGTTACATTGTACAGCGGCATTAAGTGCCGTAATGTGCACCTCTGCCTACCCCATCGGGGATAAAAGGCAACTTATGTGTTAAAAATTACAGTTTATAGGATTCAAGCCTTTCAGAGGGCACTGTATAACTAAAAGGAATTACGTTTTATTCAAACTAAACCAATACAAGCTTTCTGCCTGTGGCTTCACCTGCGTGTAATGTAGAGTTGTTTTGAAAAGAGTAACGATAGAGTTCCTTGCTCATTCTTCTCTATTAGAAACTACACTTTGATGCGAGCACCTAGCTTTACATGACAGACTAACGGACAAATCAATTTTGACGTTTCAAAAGTGGCTGATTAAGTTTTACTTAAATTAGATGATCTGAATATGTTTGTAGACCGCATCATTATCTTCAATACAAATAATCTAATACTTCCTTTTTTAGTAGGCACCTATCATAAATTAGTATCCGAGACTTGAAGGAGCCTTGATAACTCATTAACAGATAATATTTTCACGATCTAATGAAGTGTTAATTCAATGTTAACTCAGAGATACAAACTGCTAATTTTTATTGTGTACTTATTTCTTTATCTGCATAAAGACAGATCTAAGCCCCCATTTTTAAGCCCTAAGCCCCCGCATTTTTATTACTATTGTATCAACATCTTGACTAGAATCTCAAAGAGTAAGAAGAGAAGAGTACTTCTAATACCCAGTAATTACTAACTAAAGCAACATACACATAAATCTCAGATTCCTCTGTTTATTTACATTTTCAAGTCCAGTTCATTGCACTCTATCAAGAAATTGCTACCTTCCAACAAAGATTATGAATCCGCCAAAACAATTGACACACAAACTGACAGCGTGAATGCCTCGTGTTTGACAAAAAAAACATTATCACTAGCCGCTCTGCCTATTTATAATCTGTACTGTATTATTCGATCATTTGAATGCGCGCTCACGATAAACCATAAACACGTTTAGTATCGTATCAGTCATTGGCGGGAAACGACGCCGGCCATTTTTGTTTTTTTTTACTCGGTTTTTTTTTCGATGTATTTCGCGGGAAAATATTCAATAAACATTTTGTAATTTTTGTGTACAAACGTTTGGATTTTTAGTGATTTTATTGTTTTTGTTTTGTTATAAAGTTATTTGGCTGTTTAGTTTCTTTGATAATAAAGTGTACCAAATATTTTAATTGGTGCGTGTTATTGTGTCTTGGTGTGCGATTTTATTTGAGGAAAAGCGGTGAGTCTTTTGTTTATTACTCGTTCAATTTAAACAGTTGTTTGGAATTGTAAATTGTTGAATTGTTGGAGAAACGAAAATTATTTTCTTTTCATAACAATTAAATTAGTTTATTATACTCATCTTTTAGCGTTGTTTTTGTCGTGTGTTCTATCTTTTTATAGTTTTCCGGTTTTGTTTTGCATATTAATTTGATTTAGTTTGAATAATTACATGAGTGGTTCTTTAATAGTAATTTGTTTATAGACATATTGTTAATATGTATCATATTTACTATTAGTTATCTAATGAGTTGCGTACTTAACTAATGACGGACTACTATCGTTTTGTTCTTAAATGGCGTGATTTGAGTATTATAATATTGTCTTTTAAGCATATAAATATTTATGCGAATATG